CATTCACTCCTTCTCCAATCCAATCCAAGGGGACAATCAGGGGGCAATCCCCAAAAATTAGGGCTCCGGTAACTATTAGGCGGTGAAAAATAACAACAGAATTGCTTAGATAACCTCTCTATGGGATGGTAAAGTATCACTTGAGGCGGCCAATATGTGCTGCAGACCTGCTGTCCTACGAACACAAATATCAAGTGAGAAGGTTACCAAGTGCCTATTATTATACTGCCAGGACGTCAATGAACAACTCGTATTGTGAACGTTTATTTGTCAAAATCAGCTGTCTCTACATAAACTAAAAAATAATAACCACATGGCTCGGTGACTATTTTTTCTTGTAATGCACATTGGAGACCAGTTGTGACATTAGGAATGAATAATGTGTGAATTCCGCTTCTAACCTTTGATGGCGTATCAAGGTGATGTTGCTTGATTAGTCGGCAGTGAGTCATTAATAACTGCTTGCAGTACGGTACGTCAATAGATTTTGTTTGTCGATAATCGGCCTATAGGTATGTAGTATCGAATAAATCATCGAATATTTTACGTTGTGGATTTTTAACACGTTACATGTTCTTTTACCTTTCCTTGTAACTAACTGACCTTGTAAACAAATCTTGGAAGTCAATTAAAAGCTACAGCTCATGCGCTTTAAGAAAATACTGACAAAATAGTGAAACATCGAACAAGCCGCACACCCAGGTTCCAAGCTTTCGTACGAAACGATAATTTCTTGGAATCTGATTTGGCAGGGCTTGATCGAAGTTTCACTATTTTCTTAACGCGAATGAATAGTTCAGTTCTAATTGTCGTGTTGAAATTTAACTAGGTATGCTTATAGAATTCGGGCGAGAATATTAGGGCCTTGAAGCTTATCTAATGAGGGAGCACGGATCATAGTGGAACTCTTCAGTCGCTTCTAGTAAATCCTTCAACTCTGGGCTTATATGATTCGTTTTTACGTGTCCAACAGATTGTACTTGGTAATGTAGTCAAGTGATGCGATCTGGGCCCTGTTTTATGAAGCTGACAATCCGACAAGTTCGACATATGTCAAAAAGTGACAATTCGACAATTTTTCTGTTTTATCAAACTTACAGGCGACAAAATTGTCATGGTGGAAAATTGACAAATATGTCGGATTGTCGCGACAATCTGACATTTTTCTGTTTTATGAAACTTTTTGAGCGACAGGTGACAGGTGACAATTTGTCGTGAAAAACTTGTCAAATCTGCTTTATAAAACAGAAAATTGTCATGACATATTGACATATTTGTAGAATTGTCCGACAATTTTGACAGGAACGTTACCCTCTGTCGCTAAATCATATTCTGAATTTTGAAGGTGTAAGAAAGTGTTTATAAAAGTTTTATTACAAAAAATGGAACTTACCTCGAGTAGTGAGAGTAGTGATGATGAATACTTGGAACAAATACAAACGAGAAGACGACAAAGATCGTTTAAAAGCAAAATCAATTTCTCCTTCTCAATTACAGATTTCGCCTTTAAAGAAAAATTTCGGCTATGTAAAACTTCCGTAGAATATTTAATTGATAAAATAGGTCATCGACTTGAACATGTTACAAGCAGAAACATATTTATTTGCAAACATGTCAAAAGTCGACATAATTGTCACAACAATCCGACAATTGTCACCAACCATTGTCAGTAATAATTTGACTGTGGTTTTTTGACATATGTCGAGTTTTAGTAAACGATTTTTAAATGACAAATATGTCAAGAATATGCCTGTTGATTTTTGACATATTTGTCACTTTTTTTAAACACCTAATCGCGACAATTCGACAATTTTGTCACTTTTTGACATATATGTCGATATGTCAGCTTCATAAAACAGGGCCCTGGAGTAGGATTTTGTAAAGTGGTTTGTCATCAAAGTATAATTATTTTTAGTTCGACTAAATTAAAATTTTTGTTAACTTACTTCGTGCAGAATAGAGTTCGTAGTCCAGACATTGATCGTAAAAAATCTTTGATGAAAGTCTAAATCAGAAATTATGCCAAGAAGAACTACTAGCTTTTAGTTACAGCAATCCTCTTTTCTTTTAAAAGGAAAGTTTTTTGTGTCCTACTTAAAGCAACCTTCGCCACAAAAGTGAGTACACTGAAAACCAAGCTGAAAACTGATGAACGATGTCAGTATAATATAACATTGAACACGACGGTGTATAATACAGAGGCTAGATTTTTATTTAGCCATCATGCATGTTGACAAAGGAACGGACGAGTAATGTCAAAAAGTGAACAATAGGTAACCGTGAACAATACACGCTTGTCTGTCACATAAACATTGTGAGGAGACCCCCCCCCCCTCCACCACCACCACCTCCCTGCCTCCGGCGAGCCTCTCGGCGACCTTCAGCTATAATCACGTGCTGTTCGACAACAAGTGAACTTGGGACGTACCCTGCCTCCACTGAGGTTCAGTGAAAGCAGCACCTTGCACACACCCTGTTGTCCTCGATAACTTGCATTTGAGCAGTCACTAAGATTACTTACAATCGTAAACATGTGATGGAACCTCAGTATAGTAACTGAGTTAATCTCACGATACAATAAGCACTCGAAACAATAAGTTTATGTAGTAATTTTGTTCACAAGATTATTACAGTAATTGAGTACAGGGATTTGTGGTGGAGTATATTTTGGGAGTCGTAATATAACGCAAATACGAAACCTAGTCAACGCTTCGAGACTGTACATATATAATTATCCCCGTTTAACACAAAAGCAAGCCGCTTAACGTGTTTAACATTTTATGTTTACATTTAATATTATAATTATCGAGGTACATGAATCGATTGAAGGTCACGTAGATTTAACCGTCCAAACTGTTTGTTAGATTTGTACGCTAGAAATCTTTTATAAAGAAAATTAGCTCGTCGCACCCTGAATGCTATTGTCACGAAATTATATGTACAATTTCAACTTAAACATGATGTGACACAATGTCGTTACGTGAGCGTGTCGCCACGGACTCGGCGCGATTCCGCACAACAGCGCCGCGGTAGCTCGTGTGACCGAACAAGCGAAATGCCAAGGTAAACCATTTATGCGTTATCATAAATCCCAAGAAAAACCTGACCTAAACCGAGACTGTCCTTTATAAATACTTTTATATAGTCACCAATGCGTAATATGAACAGAAATGTACGTTTATACATATCTATACTAATATTATAAAGCTGAAGAGTTTGTTTGTTTGTTTCTTTGTTTGTTTGAACGCGCTAATCTCAGGAACTACTGGTCCGATTTGAAAAATTCTTTCAGTGTTAGATAACCCATTTATCGAGGAAGGCTATAGGCTATATATCATCACGCTAAGACCAATAGGAGCGGAGCACCAATGAAGAATGTTTCAAAAACGGAGAAAATTTATTACTATTGAGAGACGCAGACGAAGTTGCGCGGGTCAGCTAGTTATACATATATTTGTATCTCAGTTTTGATGCATTTTTTGAGGCTTGGGAATCATTAAAAATCTTGTCTCCAATTAACCTGACATTTGATATATATTGTTATACATGTATTTTTCTATATTTTATCTAGTATTCTCTTTACTTGCAACTATCATAATATATGTATTAACAAGAAACACATATCTTGCGATCCGTTACAGATATTTTCGCTGGCCGTGGTAAACTGTAACTGTTCGCTGTTATAATATTATTGGTATTACATACCTTATTTATTGATAATTGTATGTAGTACATATCTGAATACCTATAGAGATCTCACCATCAAGAGTTAGGTCACCAGAGATAGGGTTGGCACATTTTCTGCGTGGAGATATGGTGTGTTTCAAAAACTTGCAATAAATTTTGTAACTTTGTCAAGCCGAATCAGACCAACAAAGAAACTGACACACGCATTTACAATATTGTTAACATTAATTGGTATTTCACGGCGTGAATGCATTCATTTCGAAATTATAAATGCTACGGTTCCAATGCGTTCGAGTTACAGTTAAAAGTTGAACAAGCAATAAAAATATTTATATGTTTAAATTTACCACGTAGGGGTAGAAAACCTACCCAGATACATGAACGTCTTCACTTTGGGGTGTCTTTAAAGAACGAAAGACGACTTTATAGGATAGCGTGTGAAAACGCCATGACTAAGAATTTACGTGTATACTTAAACGATTTTTGCGATAATTTACTTTCCTATTGTGTATGATAATAACAAATATTTAAGCGTCTACTTATTAATAAATTAATTAATAACTGGATGCGTATTCCAATTTCCAAGAAAAGAAACTGTATTAGTTGTATCTAAAGAATACTAATCAGTTAACCAATGAGTTTTGTACGTTTGTTATGTCACTATCGATAAAACAAGAAAGTACTCGGCAAGTAAACAATGGAGTCAGTTCTACTCTTCACGATACACGAGAGCGGTTACAAGGAAGTACCAGTGTGAACCGGTGCGCCTATTATGTGCTTATATCCTATTGTTTTCACATAAACACGCCATCGCCGTACCTCGGATTGTCAACAGCATCATAAATATCAATGCGCTCTGACGCATACCTTTTTTTAAGTCGAGATAGACAAGTCATTTGTACAAATAGCCTATAAAAAATCTAGCGAACATCTTTTGTTATTGGTTAACGATGGAGGAATGGAACTTTGCGTTATACGGTGGAAAATTATTCAGGCAGCACTTATGCACCCTATGCTGGGTGCAGACTAAGTAATCGAAAGGAAATGAAGATCAGGTCTCGCGTAGAAAGTGCGACAGCAATCTTAGCTTTCATTATAACGTGCCAACCACTAATTATATGGTTTTTGATCGTGAACCTTCCTTGCCTTTCGTTCGCTTTGTCTGTATCCAACACTACCTAAATGACTACTGTAAATAATTAACAAATAAAACACTTAGACATTATAGCTGAAGCTATAATCCTGTCAGATTTACAATAACCATGTTAGTGACAACAGCATTAGTGGGGGAGTGTTTAGTTACAGTCACTTACTGGTGGTGAAGTTCCTGGAGGCGTAGGCGGCGGACTCCTTGTCGTGCAATAGCGTGAAGGCATGCAGCTGGTAGGTAGCACCGGGAGACAGATCTCGAAGTTGGTACGTCCAGTTGCCGGCGCCCTCCACCGTGATGTTACGAGCGCCGCCTTCTGCGCGTTCCGTTAGAGGAATCACCTGCGCAACGAACACGTATTACACTAATCAGCCTTTGGAGTTTACAGTTGTTCAAATTAAGTATGAAGTTGAAAAAGCAGTCAAGGACACACCTGAACCATGTCTTAAGTAAGATAAGCCGCCGAACCGGAATTCCGGATTACTAGATACTAGTGTATCTACTGGATAAGCGGTTAACCGAATTATACGTAACATTAAACTCTAGCCGTGGAAGAGCCAAGCTTCGGCACAAATGGGCCTGCTCGACCGGAGTGATACCACGGCCTCACAGAAAACCGGTGTTAAGCAATTCTTTCGTTGCCTTTCAGAGAGTGAGTGAGGTTACGGACCCCAAATTCCCCTTCCGTGGATTTGTGCCTCTTGAGTGCGCGTGAGCAACGCACTTGTGACTTTTGAGTTGCAGGTGCTCATGGCTCACCCGTCTGCTATTTTGCCTCCTTAGACCATAAAAAAAAACTTCACATTCCATAAACGGGTTAGATAATAACACGGACAAAACTTCATTCTACCAAACTATCATTACAGCCAAATAAGAAAGAGTACAAAATTATTATACTATTTTTGAATTTTTTTAGGTCTATATGGCAGAACTAGAATGCGCTGGTTATGGTGTAGAACCAAAGTTTTTCTTTTTTTATGGTGCAAGTGGGCAAACGAGCAGACGGGTCACCTGGTGGTAAGTAACTACCGTCGCCCATGGACAAAACAAACAAACAACAACTTAGTTTAGAGATGTCGTTTATCAACTCTTCCTTGACTGAGCCTAACTGCGCTAAGTGTGTTATGACAACACAGTGATGCAGTACAATGTCGCGACAACCCACATTGTTTTGCCGCTACAAACAAAATTGGCGGAACTGTCTCTTTGTGCTCTTTAGGATATACGTGTATTTTGCTCTACGTATGTTTAGACCAGCTTATATGGCTATCAAAAATGTATTCGCTATCGAAATGCTTCATGCAAATGAAAGTTATGTCAACTATATTTTAGAAATGGTCCATGCTTTGATAAAGTACAGTGCATTTTACCGTCATTTTGAATGCATTGTAAGTATTTGTATTATACACACTTAGCAACTGTATAAGACATTCATTTACAGAACGTCGTAAAAACACTTAAATCGTTGTAATTATTTTCTTGTGGTTATTGTCATTGATTTAAAATTTTAATTGTTATAGAATCTCCAGACTCAGACATGTTTTTGGGGTAATAGGCACATCTAGATAGTAGATAGTTCAAAAGGTGCGTGGTCCCGTGTTGAGTAACGATGGACGTTATAATTCGGTTTGAAAGTCGGTTAACCGAAAACGTGACCTAATACTTTTTTTCGTTTAAATCCTGGTTTAAGCATTTAATATGTATACACATATAAAGAATAATGAATTATTTTTTGGTGACTTCACACAAATGAAAACTAGTGTTCACTCTGCCTTCCTCCCTCTTTTCCCTCAGTTCCCTCTCTTCCTGAAAAGCCCTTCCTGGCCAAAAAGCCAACCTAAGTCATGAATATGTCTGCCCACATCGCTTGCAATTTCAATCATTCCTTTTGAATTTGAATTGGTTGTACTAAACATGGGTCTCCTTTAAATTTGGAGAAATCATTCCAGTTCTAAGAATGAAAAATTAAAAGAGAAAGAATTCAGTTTCGTACATTAACCAACATAATTAAGGCGCAACTGAAACCATTATTTTTATAGTTTACCACCAAAGAAAGCCAAGACAAGGTTCGCAGCCCCACTGAGGTTCTTTCAACTTCAGTCTGTTAATAAGAAATATGTTAGCTCAAATAATACCTAACTTCCAAATCTTGAATATATTTAAATTCGCGATTTACTTGGTCATCATACTAGTTTAAGTCGAACAAAACCGGCACCGAGGTAAAGGCCCATATATGGCCTAATTGAATATTAAGACGGACCTGAGCTATTTGTTTACAGTGCTCAATACACTCACAACGATCATCCGACTCGGTCATCAGATGATGATTGACAACTTATTTAATGACCAAGCACTTCGCATCAAAAACTGCGTTACGAGTTGCGAAACTTGTGGGTTTTGTATGTTACGTTTTGGCAGCATTAATATTGTCACGAAACATCGCGAAAGTTCGATTAACCGCGAAATTTCGGGAATCGTTAAATGATAATGCAGGTAGGCAGGGAACAATAAGTTCTATACCAATACCAATTCTATACCAACTTATGATTCTTGAACTGAAACTTCTTTAGAGTCGTTGTGATTTGAAACTCGATGAAACGAAAATGCGTCACGATAAAGAAACAAACATAAATGTATAGGATTAAGTCGGCGAGAGAATAAATTACACATTATTTTTAATATAATATTAGAATGAAAATATTTTTATTATTAGCTGGTACCCGCGACTTCGTTCGCGTGGAATTTCAAAAACGCAGCCTTAGTGGCTTTGATTCCCAAACCGGGCAAAATTTGATAGGGTTTTTCTGAGATAAAAAAACAAAAACGTTTGGAAGTTTCACTTCAGCCGTGTGTGAATTGCACACACACCCTTTTTTATATCTATAAGATTATCGTTATTGAGCAAAGTATGTACCTCGTTAATGTTACACGTGGTCTCCGTATAGCAATTCTTTTTCTGTTCGACTTCTAAAAGATTCAGTTTCATAAAACGAGTTTATTTATTTACTACTAGCTGACCCGGCAAACGTTGTATTGCCATACACATTATTTCTAAAAAAAAATTGGGGTGGGTCACCCTTGGAAAAATAGATGTTGGCCGATTCTCAGACCTACCCGATGTGCACACAAAATTTCATAAAAATCGGTCCATCCGTTTCGGAGGAGTACGGGAACAAACATTGTGACACGAGAATTTTATATATGAGATAAACACACCAACATACAAAATTAAAAAAAATACATACAGTATTACAACTGGCATATTATTAAAATGAAATCAAAACAATCCAATTTTTTTCTTTGATGTTGTGGAACGAGTCATGTAAAATATCCAAGTGCTATTTAGCCTATTGTGTTCGAGACATGCGCGCGCTATGGATGAGTTTAATTCAAGGTTAGTTAAACTTTTTTACTTGCTTTGATGACAACATTAGTTTAGAACATACAGTGGTACAACCATCCATATTTTATTGCCAGCCATAATTTTTGTAAATATTTTTTTTATAGCAGCAGCGAGCAAATGTACAGACGGGTCACCTGATGGCCCATGGATACCTGCATCTCAAGAGTCACAGGTGAGTTGTCGACCTTTGAGTCCTTCCACCCATATAGGCTCCCAGCTATATGGGTGGGTGGACTCACTTCGTGGTTGTTTGGGCTCAGGTACTCCACTCACTCGTTGAAAAACAACAAAGGAACTGCTTAATACCGGTTTTCCGTGGGGTCCTGGTATCACTCCGGTCGAGCCGGCCCAGTTATGCTGATACACGGCTCTCCCATGTCAACCATATAGTCATACAACTCAAAATATCTTGATTTAAAAAAAAATGAATTAATTGTTTGAAATCGTCTTTTATGTAGACTCTAAAGTCAGAGATCAATACACACAATAGCAACAATCTCTGTTTTGTCAAATAGTAAGCAAATAAATTTAATCAAAATTAAACTCGTACAAAATATGCCTGTGCCAATCCACAACCGCCTGTTTTCAAGGGGTTGAGCCTTATGAGAAGAAAGGGCAAACAAACTCATGGCCACTTTTGCAATTTACAGATAGATACAATGGCATCATTAAAAATACCACAACATTGTTTTGATGTGTGCCAGTATGTCCATTATTAAGGACTTAAAGGTAAAAAGATAATTAAGAGAAAACAAGATTAAGAAAAAAACAAATAAGAGAAAGTGAAGTAAAACACAAACAAAATTATTTTTTTTAAATAAAAAACACACTAGCCCACATTAGATTTCCACATAATGATACAATACCTTGAATCTGAAGCCAGTGTAGTCGCCGTGTGTTGGCGGGGACCACGAGATGGCGGCCTGCTTGTTGCGGCCTAGCGTCACCGTCAAATTCGTCGGCGGCTCCGGCGCTGCGATCACAAACCACTTCGATGACCACAACAGATAACAGTACTTCTAAACAAACTGATTAACCCGCCAGTGGCATATTAAGATAGACAATCTTTTTTTGACTATATATTTTTAAAGAACGTATCACATATCACTAGTATTCTTTTTGACCCCTCCAGCTAAGCTAATTGCTCGTGTTAAGAACCATATTAAACCATCGACGTGAACCCATCACGTGGACGGTTCCCACAACTTCTTGATTGCAAGTTTGACGCTACCGTCGCTTATACAAACCAAATGTTAACTAGTCCCATGTCCCATAAATCAACTTCAAGCCGGTAACAGGTGATATGTCAATTTATGACAGTTGTCAGAAAATATAAAATCTAATTATTTCCACGGGTTAAAAGACAATTCAGTTACGTGAGATTTATTCACGTTTTTCTGTCAAAATCATCATCATCATCAGACTTTGTCTACTGCTTCACATAGGCCTCTCCTTAGAAAGGAGGTTTTGGCCTACTATAAATACAATTTGACGTTATCCGTATAAACGTTGTCTGTAAGAGATCGCCGTGAGCGATAAGACCGACTATTGTTTTAACGAAATGTATATAGTATGTATATACGAAATGTATATGTATACAAATAATACTGCAATGGTGTACAATAAAGAGATAAATAAATACTAATTAATGACAAAAATAATAGCCGACACATCTCATATGCAGTCATACTCAAAAATTCCTAATGAATTACATAATAGTGCTCATCACACAACTGTTTATCCTGGATGGGAAGCGAACCTATGCCCTTTGTCTAAGCAGTCAGAATCACTACTAAACCGATAGGTCAGTCATTAAACATAAGTTTATTTAATAATTTAAAAAAAAAAACAATCTTCGCAATAAACACTTTAGTCCATCCAGAGGATGTCTATAATAGATTACAGCCTAAGACAATGCCGACTATACTATGGTTACAATTAAGGAGTTATGTCCTGACTATTGTGGACGCAGGTGATGATGATGTGACATCTGAAGGTCAATTTTTGTAGTTCTTAGTTTTTAAACATCCAACGTTTTTTCTAATGTGATTATATCGTATTGTGACGGAAAATTGAATCGGTATTCTGCTAGTCTTAGTAATCTACGAGAATACCTTTTATGATATGTGCGAGAGTAGATAGAACTGAATGCTGAACGATTTTGTATTACGAGAATTGACCTTCTGACACTTATTTCACGAAGGAATAATAATATACCAACCTGTTATGATGGTCTGGTTCCATGTCAAGTGGTCAGCAAAAGTAGCATTTGAGTAATACAGCATGAAGTGGTATTTAGTGCCAGGGAGACCTTGGAAGTTTATTGTTGAAGCCCGGGCAGGGACGGTGAAGTTTGGGGCCGGCGTGCCCTGCGGGGGTCGGTAATCCAGCCGGAACTGACCACCGTCCAAGGGCGCTGAATCACCGCCGCCAGACCCCGGTATTTCTATCACTAGGTCTGCACAGCCACCGCCACGCCAAGTACACTACACAGAAGATAATAAATTATCGTACGTTTAGAGTTTTATTTGTGAATGAAATGAAAATTTATTAATAGTTGTATGGTTTGTACAACATTCCTATTTTTTTGTGCTTATTTATATAGAATTGTGAAATATGCATCCAGTGATGGTAAGGAAACTTCAATCTAAGAGAGCGTACTTTATGAATCTATTAGAAAAAAATGTATACCATCCATTTACTTTTTTTTTCCTTTGCGGAAATCCCCTCGGATATTACCCACCGTGGGGTAATATCCGGGGGGGTGGTCGTACTCGAACCGACAACCTACGATATATGTACCTATAAATAACTTTGACGACCGAATGGCGTAGTGGTTTGTGTAACGGACTGCTATTCCAAAGGTCGCGGGTTCGATTCCCGCTCAAGTCAAACATTTGTGTGCATGAACATTTAATGTTTGATTTGGTCTGGGTGTTTCTATGTATATTATGTAAGTATTTACAAAAAAAAAAGTATATATGTATTTATATCAGTTGTCTAGTACCCATAGTACAAGCTCTGCTTAGTTTGGGACTAGATGGCGTTGTCAATGTGGTAGAATATTATTATATTATTATTATATTATATACTAAAAAATATATCTTGGGAGCCACGTTTAAGAGCAGTTACGCAAATTATGTAAGTAGAGCTGTTTTTTATGATAAATTCATACTGATATTATAAATGCGAAGGTGTGTCTGTCTGTCAACTCTTCACGCTTAAACCGCTAGACTAGGCGCGACGCGGATCCGGTAGGGACCTGAAATAACATTATCCGGGTCCTCCTCGAAGTAGGGCGCCTGAGTGTGGCCGTCTGGTAGGTTTTTAGTGGAAAAACCACATACTCCTGGCTCCTGCATCCCCGAGGAGCCGAAGATGCGAAGGGATTTTAATCCCCGTCAACAGAAAAAAAACCTCCGGATAAAAGCGCTTAAAACCGGTTTACTAAAAGGCCGTAGTATATATATGCAGAAGCATGGGTCTCCCACGCGGCTGCGGTAGAACGATATGAGCTGTTTCCACCGATGAGATAGATATAAGAATAGTCAAACTATTGCATGTATAGTGTAAAGTACCTCCAGTGTCAGTCTCGTCGCCCGCTAGTAATCTTTGTCGTCACTGGCGGGTGTGCTTCCGGTCCATTTCGAGATACACAGTCACGGCTATGTATTATATAACACGAGGTATCATGACTGTTACTTTTTTGGCCGAGTCGCAGAAAAGCTTTGAGCAGAGGCTTGTTGGTTGTTGAAAAATCTTTTAGATGCTCGGTGTGATCGTTCGAATTCGTTTTTTTTTAAGGGGTCAAACGAGCAGGCTGGTCGCCTGGTAGTAAGTGACTACCGCCGCTCATGGACACCTACATCTTCAAGAGTCACAAGTGCGTTGCCGCTTTTTAACCTGGGTTTGGGCTCCAGTAATCTCACTCACGGGGAAAAAGAACGAAAAAATTGCTAAACACGGGTTTGTGCATGGCTCTGCCATGTGTCATGATCATCAGCCTATCGCAGTCCACTGCTTGACATAGGCGTCTCCCATTGCACGCTACATAGATGGATTTTGGGCTTCTCGCATCAGGCTCCTTCCATGTGTAAAGTTAACAAATTCTAAGTTTATCACTTGCCAAACCTTTAATGGGTTAGGTACCATGGTGTAGTTGCTTTCATTTAATGGATTCTTATCGCCTTACTGTACATACAAAACTACCGTTCATAAATTCAGGTACTATGCAAAACTTTAAGTACGTTAAACATACAGGAACCCAGAAAAAAATTATAGCAATTTCAAGATTTTATATAAAAGCATCTATATATTAAGCTGAGTATTATACTAGTACAAAGGTTTACAGTTGCATTTCTGTACCAGTGGATTGCCTAGATATGTGGCCTGTGTTTACTGGGGCGAATGTAGGTGAGCTTAGAATCAACATCAAGCTTTAAAGACGGCAAATTTTCTGCACAAGACCCTCACATGACATGACATCAGATGATCTGCACTTAGGTAACTCATTCTAATGGATGAGGCGGAATTGCTTTAGACATTAAGTGTGATTCGGTAGAACATGATGAATGTAATTATAATAAATAAATCTTGTACTGTACATTATTGGGCCTATTCGCAAAACGTCCAGCTATCTAATTCTTAATTAGTTATGGTCCAGTTTGCAATTACTCACTAAACACTTTGCGACCAATAGTGGTTTGTGTAACGGACTGCTATTCCAAAGGTCGCGGGTTCGATTCCTGCTCAAGTCAAACATTTGTGTGCATGAACTTTTAATGTTTGATTTGGTCTGGGCGTTTCTATGTATATTGACTGCACGCATGGCGTAGTGGTTTAAGCGGTCGCCACGCAACTAAACCCTTTAGATGGAGATCTAAAGAAAGCTCCAGAAATTCACTTTCCACTAGAAAAGCTTTTCACTGAACGGAATGTATTTAGTAGATATGCCAGAAAATTGAAATATACATTAAAAAAAGACATTGAGGAAATTGGAGTTGGAAAAATTGTGTTAAAATTCAAAATTTGAAGATTATTTTGTTTGACTTTGTACTGCAATTATCATAATTTTATATTATGTAAGCCATGGGACGTGGATAATGGTGTGGGTTGCACATTTAATCAAACTTTAATTGCAATGTGCTAATTATAATGATAGCTAAGGATATAATGTGTAACTATTTATTATTGGACAGAAATAGTAATAAATTAATAAATCAAAGATATTCACCAGTTTCATGTACAAGAAATCTCATCAAAATGAAAACCATAGTAAAGCAGAAAACAGAACACTGAATTAGAATTCAAAGATCTGAAATGCAGTCTGAGATACCTGAACATCTATATTAGTTTATGTAATAACCCAGGTATTAGATATCAAGAGATGTCTTATTGAACCCAATAAGACACATCTTTAAAATTCCCAAGCCTCAATTTACACACCTCTAAATTGGAGCCAAATTGTGATAATCAATTCAAGTTACAATACCTTTTTTAATTACCCAACATTAAGAAATGTTGTATGTTTAAACAGAATAATAAAGTAAACTAAACTAGGCAAAGCCTGTACTATGATAACAAGCCCGCTGATAAACCTACTTATTTAATTCTAAATAGATACATATTATGGATAAATTACATCTTATAACAGCTGAGGAGGATTTTAATTTAGAAAATTTTAACATTCAAGTTTTTTATATATACACAAGAGTATTACCCAATACTAGTCTATTTATGTTAAAAACTGATATTATGTCATAGGTTAAATAATTACTTGATAGTGATTTGAGTGAGTTTTTCCCGCTCATATATTTATAAGTTCTTCCTCATTGGAGCTATGAATCAAGTTTAATTATTAACTATTCACTAAAGGAAAACATTTCATTAATTAATTAATGGTATGCAGAGCTTATCACCACAACTAATTAGATAGAATTACTTTTAAAATGTATGCAATTTCATAGCATCAATGTTTGGAACACATTTTAAAGTTAAAACATACTGATATATTAAAAATATTTATCGTTAGCCACTTTCCAGCCTTTGATCGTGCTCTGTTGACTTATAAGATGTGTAAATGTGTGACTCTAGTTTGCTTTATAAACAAAAACAAAGTAGACAACAAGTGTGGGTTGGCAGGTGTCACTCGCCAGGTTTGCTTCAGTCAGGAGGCACACGTCGCGTACTTACAAGAGTCACGGCGAGCAGCAGGCCCAGGGCCGCGGAGCGCGACCGCACAGCCGTCGCTTGCACAATCGACCTCTTCCACATCATTGAAGGCGACGACTGTCCGATTTCACGACACTTTCTCTTCAACACAACACTGTTCTCCATATCGTAAAGATGAGAGCATGATTCACACGAAAACCTGTGCTCAGTAGCCATATCATCGCGTTATATCACTATTAAAATATCTACTGCTGCGCGAATAAATAGCAATTAAAAAACATTGCTTTCGTCTCGCAATCTTTCTTTCTTGTCTGACTTGTCAAATAGGGATTCACATGCCAAAACCTAAAGATTTATCGACAATTGAAAGACAGTGTGTTATCGATATTTCTCTTGTATACTTTTCTTTGTTTTTTTTCTTCATTGTGATCGGTTTTATCTTTATTCTGTCAATCATACATCAAATATCCAATGTACGGCGTCATCATTAAATTAGAAATCTTAATTAACGAAGTACATATAAATATCGAATTTCAATATTGTACTTATAATCATTGTGATTGTGACCATACTTCTTGAAGAAAGACATTTATAGACATTTTTGGTTATGTCGAGCTCGAACCAAGTAAAAACCGCACGCAATCCGGTACCAATAGGCGGGGAATTAGTTGTACCCTAGAAAGGCAATTTCTGGTACCGCGACGTACTTCGGGGCATCTACGGCTACGGCTTTTACATGACCCCCTTCTGTGTGGGTACCTCGATAATCCCTTTATGTCCCCGAAACGTCGACTACAGACGAGGGAATAGCTGAAGGCTGGGGGGGGAGGAATTCTGGCCTAGCAGGGGGAGTGTGTCACGCAATATACCACTCTCCCACCAGGATTCCCCCCCTCCTCCTCACCGCTTCTCCCCACTCAGGGGCAAATAACGTGGGACAAGCTGACACTCGTCGCTCCGGGCTGCAATCAAGTTAGGTGTTCTCCACATACCACAGCCGCCTCCCCGATCGAAGTCTCCGGGACTCCCGCCTGAGCCAAATTTTGTCTACATCTAATTACTTTTTGTAGTTAAATTACAAACTGCGAAAGTGACCTGACTGTATAATTTCTACCCATCATGTGGTTACAATCGATTATACGTAAACATAAGTTTAATGTAAAAAAAGCTGGGCAGTATTTAGATTAACCAACAATGTATATGTACCGACCCGTCTGGCCAGCGTGATATAGTAGGCCAAAACTTCCTTTCTAAGGAGAGGCCTATTTCCAGCAGTGGACTGTTATATACTGTTGATGTGATGTATATGTATGATGTATATGTTTTCTTTGCTTTTAGATTGCATGATTTATCTATTTACTAATACATCGATTACACGGTGGTAGGATCACGTATTTTAGTTTATATTATTGTATTGTTCATACAACAAATAATCATTTTTAGAGTAAGTACCTCCCAAATCTTAAAATACTGTTCAAAAAGTAACAATGGATGGACACTGCTGTCCCCAGGTCGACCCTGGATATGTGTCTCTTTTGCCCCATTGAGTTACAGGTAAACTATGCAGCGTGAAACCGTTGCCTTACTCAATTACAATCTTTACTAATGGGAGACTCACATAATTAATTTTAATGGATTTTAATAATTTTACCGATATCTAAATTCAAATGACGCATCACTAGAAATGTCATTTCAAATCTTAAGCCTTAGAACTGTTATCTATAGAAATAGCCCCGTAACGTCATTGAAATGCTTTGAACAGCTTCGAACGAATAGTAAACTACTTTTTGTTCGACGCATTTTAAATGACGTTGATAACTAGCAGGACCTCGATTACGAACTTTCGAACACACAATGTTCCTATTAGGTATTGTCATTACTGGACATTATTAAAAATCTGCGGCTTTTATTTTTTAAGCTATTTCATAGCTTCTATCGAGGGCCTTGAGCGCGGGGACCGAATCCAGAAATTCCGTAACGATAAAAAACCTCACGCTAAAAACAAAACAAAAAACAGTACCAAAATTAAATGCTGAACGTCAAAGGAAATTTCGTCAACATAATGCAGAAAAATCTTACATGGATTTGTAATTTGATTTCATAATAATATTTTTTATTTATTTATTTAAAAACAAATTGTAATATATGCTTCAATATTTTTATTTAATAAAAGAAAAAAAATTGTTTTCTTATCGGTCACCGCGCTTAAAAAGTGTAACTTGAATTAATATCAAAGAAAAAGAAATACTGCATAAATAAAATAAATAAATAATTATAATTGCATAAGTTGATACAAAATGCTATGCAATAGCTTTACGGCAGTCCCCGAGTGCCACACGTTTTTTTTTTGTAACTTTCCGCACTATTTCAACAAATTTTTCTTATTAGTAGATATATTTTGTTTTGACATATTAAGGAGTAAAATTCCTCTAAATCAAATAAATAAACATTGCCACTCGCCATTCATGACGAATAATTTATAGATGGTAACACTAACTCTCTGTCAAAGTGTCAAACGCAATCCTGTTTAATGAAATTGGCGGCATAGCTTTGTGCGTCTATAAATATTGAAAAAAATATTTAAAAGTGCAATATTTACATATAGATTGTTAAACATGGTGGCTGAAAGTGATAGTAGTGCATGGTCTTCAGACGATACACTAAGAATATTGATTGCGTCCGACATTCACTTAGGTTACTTAGAAAAAGATGCCGTCAGAGGAGAGGATAGTTTCATTGCTTTTGAAGAAGTTTTGTCACAAGCAGTCCAGTACGATGTTGATTTAGTGCTTCTAGGAGGAGACCTATTCCATGATGCGAAACCTTCGCCCAGTTGTATGTATAAATGTACAGAAATTGTCCGGAAATATTGTTTCGGTGATAAGCCGGTAAGCATCGAACTATTGTCTGACCAAATTAAAAACTTTTCACGAAATGTAAACTATGAAGATCCCAACTTGAATGTGTCCTACCCGATATTATCAATTCACGGTAACCATGACGATCCTGTTGGACAAGATGGCATAAGCTCGCTGGATATTCTGTCTATGGGTGGGCTAGTCAACTACTTTGGCAAATGGACTGACTATACCCATGTACGTATTTCACCGGTACTACTACAGAAAGGTGACAGTAAACTTGCTCTATATGGCTTGAGTCACCTAAAGGATCAACGTCTGTCAAGGCTGTTTCAAGAGAAAAAAGTAGAAATGTTACGTGATGAGGAAAATGATTGGTTTAATATACTTGTGCTGCACCAAAATAGAGCTGAAGATAGAGGTGCTGGCAATTTTATTCGAGAAGAGGAGCTCCCTAAATTTTTAGATTTAGTTCTTTGGGGTCATGAGCATGACTGTGAATTATATGAAATGAAAGGAAAACAAGATAAAGAACATTTCAGAGTTATCCAACCAGGGAGCACAGTGGCCACATCCCTGGCAGCCGGTGAGTCCCGTCCAAAACATTGTGCATTGTTACAGATATACAAGACTGATTTTATTTTGACACCTCTGCCCCTCAAAACTGTGCGACCATTTATTTTCAAAACAATTGTATTGTCTGAAGAAAATCTTGGGGACGAAGGTGTCAATGAGAGTGAAAAAATACAAGAGTTTTTGAAGCAGAAAGTCTCTGATGCATTGGCAGAAGCACAAAATCAACTGAGTGGTGATCCAAAACAGCCAACGGTTCCTCTCATTAGACTCAGTGTCTTCTATGAGCGAGAAGATCAAACATTCAACAGAATACGATTTGGACAGCATTTCAATGGAATAGTTGCTAACTCAAATGACATTCTATTGTTAAAAAAAGAAAGGAAAGTGCGTGAAAGGCGAGAGGCAGGTGTAAAGATAGAAATGAAAGTTACAGAGCCCATCGAAAATGTTGCCGATGTTGAAACTCTCCTGAAAGCTTATTATGATGCTCAGCCGCCGGATCGTGGCCTCGCTGCTCTTCCGGTGCGATTTATGACGGAAGCGGTTCGTGAATTCACTTTAAAGCAAAGTGGTGATATTTTGATAAACGCTCTCGAAGCACATAAAAGACGCTGTATTGCAACATTGGTAGAATCTAATACCGATCCAGATATCGAGGCGATAACGGACCGACTGCGAGTTTTACGTGATGAAATAGATGCGGCCGACGATTCACAGTTAGCGGCTATGAGGGCAGCACCGGCGGTAAAAGAAATTACAGAGCTGTCTAGTGACGACGAATCCCCGAAAGCATCGGAAGAAATCGGCCGTGGGCGAGCGCGCGGGGCGCGTGGTGCGCGCGCAGCACCGAAGGCGCGCGGGGCCCGGGGCGGGAAGGGGCGCGGGCGCAGCGAGCCGGAGCCCGTGGTGGTGATCACGCCGATGAGCACGCCGCGAGCCACACCCGAGCGCCGCACACCGCGCCGCGCAGCCGCTCAGAAGAGTTCTAATTGGCTTCAAAGTATTGCAGTGAGCACACGTCGCTCCCGTCGTGAATCCTCTGAGATTGACGACTCTGACTAACGGATCTCGTAAATGATTATTGTAATTCTATGATAAACATCCTACATTTAGTGATATGTCTCATTCTCTGAAATATTATTGTAACCTGGTTAAATATATTATTTTTAATAAATGTTTAATAATTAATTATACCTAATGTTTTATTGAAGTGTAAGATTAACGGAACTGTGGTTAGGAGTCGGTTTACACTATTACTTAATAGTATTATTGTAACCTACAGAGTCAGAGGTCTAAGCAACTTTGTAATTAAACGGCGAGCGACTAATGCTACTTTTTTTCGGTTAGTTAAACCTTTCCATATCAGAAGGTCAATTCTCGTAATAAAAGTTCCGTCAAAATTCAGTTCTGATCTACTGTAGATTTCACAAATGTCATAATAGGTAGCAGGGCATCTGACACAAAACACCTAGTTTCAAAAGAAGCAGAGCTTGTAGGTACTATGAAAGCTAGATTGACTGATAGAATACCTTTATACTTTTTTTTTTAATATACATACCATACATAAAAAACATCCGAACTTCGTAACAAATATTCACAGATCATACAAACTTTTGGTCCGACCCGGGAATTTTCAGTATATTACAATGTACTCTGTGCCGGGAATCGAACCCGAGACCTCAGGAATGATATATTTTGAGTTACAAGTGTGTGCTACCAAGTCTGTCATGAGCTATGGGTCACAGACCTAATCTATTTATATGTGCTACATTATTTTCATCCCATTTTGGCCTGCCTTCTTTTTCAATATACATAATTTTTCTACCTTTAATTCCTATAATGCCCCGTTGCCCTCTTTGCAAATATGGTCAAAAACGTTATTAATGTTAATGTATGTATGTTCAGTGAAGTTATTAATGTGTGATCGTTCTGATTTAAAATTTGGAGGATAAACTTCTTGCCAGTGACGAGTGGTGTGATGGTACACGTAATTCAGTACCCGGGCATCGCTCTGCTGTACGCCTGCATTGTGTCTTCATTGTCTTGTGGTTTTAGCAGTATAATGTACTATCGTTAGTGAGTTAATTGTTGGTCTAAGTGATCAAGATTTTCGCCTACTTGTGATACGGTGAGAAGCTTGGTTCTCTTGGATGACATAATTAAATGTTTTCTTCATTACGAGTCTGTTTTCATCGTACATTATCTCATTAACATTATTATCAAAGAGAATAAATTTGAAATTAACGTCCCGGATATAGGTAAAATTATATTGTTTGATAAAATTTCACCTGCAGTGTTGGTACACAAAACAAGTAACGATTAAAATTGACTGCACGGATGGCGTAGTGGTTTAAGCGGTCGCCACGCCGCTTCCTACTACTGTGGACTTGAAGTTATCCAATAAAGGTAAGAAATTAAAAGGATCAGTGTAGTGAATTCATTCATGAAGCACTAAAAGCCCCGAACTATTATTAAGGGAATAGGCGTTCTAGGTACACCTGATGTAAATTTTAAACAAGTATTATTGAAATGAATAAGAGGACAAATGCTGTACAGTTTTTAATGATAAAGTACTCGAGTCAGATGCACAAGATGGCAGTCGTCGGGCGGAGGTGAGGAGTCAGGGCCCGAGGGCGGGCGGGGCCACGTCGTGCGCGAGCGCGTAGTGCACGTAGTCCAGCGCCTCGGCGGCGGCGGCGGCGCGGTCGTCGCCCGCGAAGGCCAGGTCGGGCGCCGTGCCCGCCAGCTGCAGCACGGCCAGCTCGGCGCCGGTCGCGCGCGCCAGCTCGCCGTACGACAGCTCCAGGTGCAGCGCCTCGCTCAGCGCGGCCACGATGCGCTCGGGCGAGTGCGGCTCGCGCGCGCGCTCCCTCTCCAGCAGCGCCACGGCCGCCTCCTTTGTCTCCGGGTCTGCACGGGGGAACGCGCACGCGACGACATTTAATTTTCTTCTAAATTTAGTAAATCGTCCTTCATGTACGGTTTCATATGAAAACGAGGACCGAATTCTATGCCGACGTAGTTCACTTCTAACGCCGTTTCGACGCACATGCATGAAGATTAAGGAAATATTAATTATACAAGATACAAAGAAAATAGCGAGTTTGAATCGTATGTTTCATCGAATACGTCATATTTTTTAATTCTTCTTTTTTTTTATTTTAACTTAAAACTTTAAATGCGAGTGAACTTGCCTTAGCATGCAGTCTCACTAACGAGCTAGCGTACGCATATTTGACCTAAGTTTGTATATACATAATATATAATGTAACATTTAAATTACAATTAATAAATTTAAATATTTAATCAAGTACTTTTATGATGAACTGACTTAGCAGGGTGATAAGTTATCCATAGAAAAACGTTTGTAAAGTTTTTCGTCAAATTCGTCGATTACACTTTGTTTTAACGTCGGGTATTGTTTATATTTGCCAAACTTATATTGTTTAATAGTTTGTATCTTTATGTAATTATATATAACTGACGACCAACGAATATGTCGATTGTTTGCCATTGTCATTTTGCATCTTTAAAATCTAAATAAGCGATAATCCGAATATTGTGGAATATTATGTTGTCAATTCGAAACCCTTATGTAATACGTTCTTTGATTTCAGGGAACCTGATGTATGGAAAAATAAAACTGTTTACGTCGCATTTTTTCCATATTTTTTTTCACCAATTAAATTTTCTCTAATTCCCAAAATTAGCCGAAGTCTCGCTAAAAATCGAGAACCGAGATGTGGTCCACCTCGGTTCTCGATTTTTAGCGAGACTAACGAACAGCAATTCATTTATATAGAAACACGTTGTGCAACCATTATTTCTAATGCTAATGACAATATACATGCTTACCGAGCCGCGATGCAAGACCCAGGTGGTAGTCTGCTATCTTCTGGCCCAGGTCGGGTCGGCGCGGGTACTCATCACAGGGATCCTGGTACCGCTCCATCGCCTTATCGTGAGCCCGCGCCAGCGCTTCATCCTGCAGCACCAACCATATCAGCAACTGCTATACAACTTAAATTCACCCGGATTTAGAATGTATGTGACCACATCTACATACCTCAGATTGACCGTGATCTGAATGGTTTAAGAACTGGTTTTTCGAGTTGGTCAACGTATTACAACCGTTGGCAGGATACAAAGCTACAGCAATGCATAATTATTAAAGCATGTAAAAATGCATAAATACAGTACAAGACTTTGCAAATAATAAAAAGCTACCGTGTACTTACTACATAGCAGATTATCTAAGCCGGCACAATTAGTATTGAATTCAAAAAAAATTACAAATAGCTTTTATCACGCTCTCAAAATCAAAATCAAAATGGCATCTAGTGGCGTCGCTTGTCAATCACCAAATCACTCTAATGAACTCGGAATCGGCATTGACCTGCGCAAAAGCTTTTGCACAGGTATGAATAAATTATTTGTTAGCTATGAATAACGTTATTTGAGTAGGGAAAAATATATTAATACTGAAAAGTAGCTAAGTATTTTATTTAAACAAAACATTAAAGTGTGCCTAAAAATATTTCACCTCATTGAAGTCCTTGGTGACGCGTGCAAGATTTTCTCGCAGGTAGGTGTAAAGCTTCTCGGCGGCGAGTTGCCTGGCGGCCTTCTTGGTGGTGGAAGTGGCGAGGCGCTCGTGCTGCCCGAGGCGCGCGCGCATAGTAAAGTGGCGGAGGTGGGGTGGGCCTGTGTCACCCACCAGCTCGTACTGCACGCCCGCTAAGTGATACTCCTCGCACAGCTCTTTTAGTAGAGCCACGTAACTGCGTGTGTCCGCGGGCGAACCCACCGTCACCTGAAACACATATGTCCATGTCCTTGCAGATTCTTTCAATACAATAATCAATAAACGTATGCCGATATTCGGTGCAAATCAATTCAGTTTAATCGAAATGTCTCCCTGATTAAAACAAATAAAGTGCCTATGTAGTTAATTGGATACAGTTACGAGCCGGGTATTCAATAAATAAAAGTAGTCGGTTTATTACTAAAACTGCACTGTATTTACAAAGACTCTCTATTACAAACAAGAAATCACTAGATAACTCGGTCGTCGCACTAGAATATCGCTTCGATGTTAATTCGCCGTGTCGTAAAACAATACCGACTCAACACGCTCCGCATTTACAGGGCCATAAAAAACTGGAACCATTTAATCCTATGGCGTAACAATACATTAGCAATAAAATTGGCAACTCCGCTACGGCTTAACTGTTTCCACTTTACATACCCCGGCTTCATGAAAACTGGTCGCGGGAACTGCCAATCCGAAGGGGGCAGGCACCGAATGTCCCTTCGAAGCCAGCCTGTGCAGCATGACCCGAGCCACCTCTTGCTTAGCTTCCTTTTTTGAGCGTGCCGCGGCTGTCACCACTTCACCGCATGCCAAACAGCGGTACTCGAAGAGTGCCTGGTGTTGAGGCCCTGACTGACAACACATTAGTTTATCTTTATACCACAATAATAGTTTATTTTGCAGCGTTCTATAATAGCCTTCATTATTAACCAACAAAAACGGAAAGCTGCTTCAAGACAACAACTGACCTAATATTTCTTTTTCTTTTCTTTTTTTAAAAGACAACTCCCGCACTAGGAATAAATCCTGTGTCGCGGGGGACTTTACAAACATACATGAAAGTTTAAACGGACACAAAGTACACCCAGACTCAGAACAACAATTTGTGGATCACACAAAGTGTTATCCCATGTGGGGTATGAACCCACAACACTCAGCGCAATAGAAAGTGGCGTGGCGACCGCTTAAACCGCTACGCCATCCGTGCAGTCGCAATATTATTGTTTCCTGTGGGAGTTCAGTCAGACTAACAAAAAAATATGTGTTTATTACTTTTTATTTTTAACTTCGCTATCTCATTTCTTCGATTTAATACGTTGTGAAAAGAAAAAAAATATCTTTCTATTTCATTAATTGTTTTTATAGCTGTTTAATTTCAATAAAAGTGACGGATACATTATTCATAACATTAACAGTAAGCGCCTGTTCAATTCGCTCAATTGTTCAATTAATCGCAAGATTTGAACAGGCGCTACCAATAAAGGTAAGTATTTGAGCAAATTTGGCGACTGCTTCGACTTCTAGTCGGCCTGACGACGCTGGTGCGGCTGAAGATGACTGATATAGCTAATCTTCGCGGTAAACTGTCGTGCACAGTATGAGCACGTCAGCATGCCTTACTGGCATCGGATGGACGACCGTTTCATTCATTGCGCTTAACATCGAGGTCAACTTTACGCACCTCCTCAAACTCACGGATTTGACGTCTCACAAAATCGCACCAGTAACCATTACCACCTCCCACTAAAACGCTCGATGTTACAGCTATTCAAGTAAACACAAAGAGCAACGATGTACTTGCTCGAGTCTGCTAAACACTCCTTGTTCAGCAGACTCGAGTTGATGGCGCAACAAATCGTACGTATACAATGTAACGTCCGTAACGTAACGCACACATGACACAATTACCTTTGGCTTCATACCGTTGTAATTTTTTCTATTGTGTATCCACTTTAAGATTTGTATTAGCAGCAAATATGTTTGACGAATATCTCAGGGCTTTTATTGGTTTTAAAAAAAACAACTACCGCACTAGGAATATATCTAATCGCGGGGGACTTTACAAAAATACATGAAACGGACACAAAGAACACCCAGACTTTTTTTATTATACTATTTTAAAACAACTATTTTTGGATCACACCATGTGTTGTCCCAAGTGGGGATCTAACCCACAACAGTCAGCGCAAAAGGAAGCGGCGAGGTGACCACTTAAACTAGTACGCCATCCGTTCAGTTAATGACAGTTTGGTTTCTTTGTAACATTCTATACTTCTTATTTTGGTAATTATTGGTGTACAATAAATTATTGGACTAATTCCTCTGAGGAATGTAAAATGACTGACCTGCTAAGCACTATAACATTTACATCTTACCTGGGATACACACTCATACTCTGGCATGTTACCCATCTTAATCATCATTTCTTGGAGCACAGTCACTGCCGTCTTCATGCTGCTATGATTACCTACCTGAAAAATAAAGTACATATTTGTAAACCATCAGTAATAACTGTATTTGCTTATAACTTTTAATTGTTACTTGTTTGCAGCTCTAGTAAATTGCTAGCTGCAAAGCAAGATAAGTGTGGTGGTGGCGGCAACTGGTGACAATTTTTCTGTCTTAGTCTCGTCCAAATAGTACTTTGCACACCTGAAAGGTCTCATGCAGTAATTTTTGGTGTGGTCGTACTGCTGGCACTGTGTACACTGGGCAATAGTTTTATGTCTTCTTGGATCTTCTATTTGAACTTTTTGTTCTGTACTGTTTTCATCTCTATGCAGGGGCACCACAGTACCAGCTTCTCCCTGTGGACCGTCTCGAATCGTCGATAGCCAAAACATTTGCGACCGGCTCGATCCCTTGGCGTTAAGTAGAGATGTAGCTTTCCTCTGCATTCTCTATCGTATATATCATGGAGAGTGCTCCGAGGAATTATTCGGACTAATAGAGGCCGCAACGTCAACGCATCGTTCCACACGGCAAAAATTTCATCCCCACCAGTTGGATAATTGGCGCTCCACCACTGTGCGCTTTTCAAGACCCTTTTTGCCTGGCACTACCAATCTACCTTAAAACCTTCAAGAAAAGAACGTACTCCTTCCTCAAAGGCTGGCAACGCGCTTGTGACTCCTGAGTTGCAGACGTTCATGGGCAGTGATGGTCACTTTCCATCACGTGACCCGTCTGCTCGTCTGCCCCCTATAACACAAAAAATAATAATAATAATAACATGTGGTAGATTTTCATTTGGTACAATACATTGTAAGGTTCTTTTGTATTTTTCTTTGATGCATTAATAATCTCACCTTTCACCTTGTATCCTATTCCTACAATAGCTTTCACTATTGCTTCCTCTGATGTTGTATCATGTAGGTTTTTAATTACAAAGGTTTGTCCTATCTTCTTTCTTCATGAAAGGATGTCCAATTAGACCTTAGGCATGTATGTATTTCGAATATTGCTACAGATTTGGAGGAAATTATTAACTGATCCAGTGATGATATTTTGGAATACTCTTCAGTTAGTTGTTTAACATCCTTAATACCATACAAAATAATTGGAGGTGGTTTTGAAATCCTCTTTTTCTGCAAGGGAACTGTTTTGTTGTTAATGTCATTTTCTTCACTGAGTAGGGAAAAGCTATTACTAGTTTCAAGGGTACTTGCCGTAATTGATCTGGTTTTGTTGTATAGTAGTTGTCTGCCTTCACTTCGTTTTTGATGTTTGTGGGTACTTTTAGTTTCTTTGGACGTTTGCTATTGGAATTGTTTGCCATTGGACATGCGTCCATTCAGTTTTAATAACGATGTCACTGCTATTAGCCTCAGGGGAGCGAAGACCTTGTACCAGGGACTTCCTTTAGTACCAGGGACTTCCTTTAGTACCAGGGACTTCCTTTCTAGGGTATACCTGGTTCCCCGGCTATTAGTACCCGAGACGGCGTGCGGTTTTAGTCGGTTCGAGTCCGACATGCCACCGACAGGTGCTATCCGAGGGGATTTCCCGAGGGGAAAAAAAACAAATTAAAAAAAAAAAAAACAAATTAAAAAAAAAGGGGAGGGAAGACCTAAAGTATAGACTTCAGACTGCTTATCATTATTTGTTTGGACTATGCATTGATGCTCGGTTTAGTGTTTAATTCAACTGATTCATGTGTTGATGTTCTATGAATATTTTCAGTTGAATTACTTCTAGGCTAAGTGGCCATGTTAAATAGTCCCTTATGAAACACTTGTTGGACAAATTGTTTGTTTACATGACCTTGCTGGGATTATTTATGTGTTGGTTTAACATTATGATCACTTTTAGACATTGTTATTAAATTATTAATTAGCCATATCAACACGAAAGAAAATGTAAGTGACGTTCGAAATTTTAATCTCTTACTGCTGCACCAATTTTAATAATTGTTGAGATGACATCTTCAACTTAGCTTACCTTACCATATCTAAATTAGTATCATAGTTCACACAAGTTCAACAGTGGTTGGTTTTAATATGGAACCTTTAAATTGCAAAAGACAAGGGTACAGCTTTGACAATCAGTCTACAGCGAGTCTAGAAAGCCCCAAGAGGGTGGTAACAATAAGTCAAGTTAAAAATCAGTAAATGGTACGTACACACCTAAATAACTCACCCATGTAGTGTTCGGTTGAACTCATTTAAACCATTTATTACCTAACTCCCTTCTTTATTTAATTTTTATTTATCAAAGCCACATTACAATTAATACCTAGACGTATATTGCTGTCTGCATAAACCATCTATCCTCATTATAAAGTCGACCCGTGATTTGCGCCTTAATAAAACCACTATGCTCTATAAAGAGTTGTCTTGCCTTTGGCTGATAGCCCTTTCGAGATAAGTAAAAAATAAATAAAAAACATTTTATATATATAAGACAGAAAATAACGATATTAAATTAAAAGTAATTAAATTTTATGCACTTTACAAACAATTTTTCTTGCCGGTAAAGTATTTAATACGTAATTTTTTTAAATAAATATTAACTGACACAGAAGAACTATTTAATATTATAAACTAAGAATTCGATAAATAGTGGAAAATCAACTTACAAATTATCAACGTCGTTGAAGGTATATGAGATTTTTGTTTATTATCAGAATAAGATCGATCATCGCAAAAACACGAAATGTCATCTTGACATAATATGCCAATATTGCCAATAAACCAGATTCATTTCGTTGAACTTTTAGAATAACTAGCTGCGCCTCGCGATGTTACCCGCGGTTTTTTTTTACCTTGCTCATCCCACGAGAATACTAAATTTTTCGGAATAAAAAGCCTATATGCTATTTCAGACTAAAATCTATTTCTGTGTCAAAGTTCATCCAGATCTGTTTAACGTGAAAGAGTAATAACACTTTCGCCTTTTTAAGATAAGTAAGATTTAGATTCATGATTTGACGAGTTTAATTTGGTAAGTTCAAGAAATATTTCAGTAGAAAAGTCGGTGGTTTGATACAAAATGAACGCGATACGGTGGCGATTTATTTACACAGAACTTTTCGAAAAATAAAGCGCGGTGAAATATCGATGTGCGGATGGGGCCTTACCTTTTACAAATGAATATAATAATGTTCTGTATCTTAAATATCGACGCATTTAAGTTTTATAAATTAATGTTCCTAATAATAACTATTTATGAAAGTAGTTTTATTAGATTGCAAATAGAGACGACATTTTTTTTAAACTGTATTATTTTTTATTAATTTTCATCCATGGTTTTGTTTCACTGTTGATATTATTTTTTATAATTTAAAAGAATATAAATGATAGGTATTGCTGTACAATAATTCATACGTAACAGAGCCGTGCTTCGGCAGAAATGGATCGGGTCGACTAGAGTGATACCACGGCCTAAACCCAACATTAAGCAATTCTTTTGTTGCTTTTCACACTATAACACATTGTGAGTGAGGTTACCAAAGCCCCAGATCTCGCTCTACCTATTTCTTGGGAGACTCAAAGGGCTTCGGCAATATTTTTTTTATAAGGCTCACATTGTCTCCACGATAATGTCATTTTTCTTCATTTTTCTTCACCATGTTTTTTTGTTTACTGTCAAAATCAGTAGCGGAAGTGTAAGTTTTTTTAAATGTGTTAGTTTAGGTACAGTAGTTTTAGAATAATAATATTTATGATTTAATTGGGTACCGAAAAAACGAAGAAATATACTACAGCGCCAGCTAGCGAGGACATGCCGAACTAAGGAATGCTCCTGAATGAGAATTGCCAATTCTGTATCCCGATATGAATAAATTTTTCGGCGATTAGCATACATTCTACTTCCCAACATGCGTTGGGCCGCGGCCCGCCAAGCATGATCACCTCACCTGGTCGGAGGATCCTCCCTTTGTGTTGGAGGTACATGACACTCGTTGCACCACACATACTGTAGTCCCTTTTCACGAAGTGAGAAACCACATCGTGAAAAGGGACTACAGTGAACGTGGGAAAATGGAGAGAGAGGATACCTCCTCTCTCTCCATTTTCCATCAAAAATAAGTAGTAAAAGTGATTTCTAACATTAATGATTTATTGCATAAATCATTGTGTTCAATTTATGTAAATCGTAAATTACTGAGTAGCGTTAAAGATATCAAGTGTGTAGAATATAAATGTTATTTATACTATTATTTATGTGTCAACTAATCCCTATATATTTGGTATTGAAAAATTAAAATACTTTAAATGTGCATATTTTGATATTTGTAGGTTTGGCATGTTTTGAGTATTTATGAACGCATCCATATCGAAAAAGGATCAATTGTAATGGCAACTCAGTTTTTTCCGATCAGTTTTGGGTTAGTTAATTTCATATTTTCGTTGCCTTTTAAAGAAAATAGATTATTTTATATTCTCTATAAATAAAAAAATAAAAATTTATTTATAATTTATTATATAGAATTCTTGAATGACTACTCTTGTAACTAACTTAATATATTTCTCAATTGATGTGCGAAGCGCCATGGACATTGGAGTAACTGTCAACTCGTATGTGTGAGTTCTTCAGTTATATGTGTGTAAACGAACACGCTTGTCGTGTTGCGGTACGTGTGCTTTCTACGAAATTGACTTTCATCGCCTCGTAAGTTTGTGAATTTCATTTATTATGGTGTACTTATAGTTTGGATAAAGCCGTGTTAGTGTACGATTCCTCATGTTTGAGCAGAATATTACTCGAAATCAGCTAAGATCATTCGATCGGATCGTGTCGATGCGTCACCTTTGTGAGCCATTTTATTCATGTTCTACGTTAGTATAGTTTTAGGAGATACGTCCTATTTACTCTGTTATGACCTCTCATGATATCGTACGTATAACGACAAAATGTAAACGCAAATTATTGCTGAGCGAGGTAACGTAAGGTGCATTCTAACCTAGCTGATATCTGTCGTAGGTCTCTGCAAACGGCCCACGGCCACCCGCGATTGGACGCGTCTCAATTGTACCACTTGTACGTGCCTGATTCACGCACCTCCGTTTTGCCTCCTTGTAGACTAGTCCCGTTACAAACTGCGGTTACAAGGCTGAGATCGTATTTTCAAGCCAAGTTAAATTATTAACATAATTAGTAGAAATAAAAATGCATGGCCTTTTTAATTTTTTATGAAGTCTTTGTCTTGTGACTATGATCTCTATTTTTTAAATATGAATTAAAAATGGTATCAACAATCTGGTTTATATATTATAAAGTTAATGACCACTTTTATTCATAGAAACCTAGTCAACAGTCATAACAGATTTTAATAATCCTTAAATGCATCAATATTTTCAGTAAACAGATTAAACAAATAAATGATGTCAGTGTTTCCATTCTCACTTAATCTTTATTATATTTTGGATCATTTGCTGTTGTTGCATCTTCAGTGTCAACACAATTCATACCATATTATTGTTATTTTCATAACATTTTACAAATGTTGCAGTGTATGTGTTCCCTATGTTGTATCTTCATTTAATTGAGGTGTTATTGCTATCGAGATGGTGCTAGAATGCTATACTAGAATGGAAATTCCAGTACTGTCTTCTATAGAACTGTAAATTTTTTTTGCAGTACTGGTACTGTATACCAGGACAACTAACATGTAAATATCAATTGAAACAATAATAATGTATATGTACAATAGCAATAAGTAAACAGTAATGCATTTTATATAGGTACATCCATTTATATACTGTTATGTGTATAGTTCTAACAAAAGCAACTTTAATACAACATAAACAGTTAAATATGAATGTATTAAGAATAATGGTTTGTTGGACTTTAAAGAAACATTTAAGAATATCTTAGTTTAACCAAAATATGTTCTGCTCAAACTCTGAGTTCCACTTTGTGTAATTTTCCCATCTAAATTTTATCCCGATGTGTATAGCACTCACTTCCTTAACTTTCCATTAAATATTGTAATAACAATAAGGAAACAACATATTTATGTAATGACATTTAATATGTTTGACAAGTTTGAAGAAAAATCAAAGTATTGTGAGCCTTTCTCGTGATGGTGATCAATTTGTATAAACCAAAAACTTGTTTCTGTCTTTGACATATAAACTTTTTGACACTATTACTATAGAAATAATTCTAGGGGTATTATTACGAGAGGCGAGACCTCGTGGCGGCCATCGGAGTGGGAGTTCTCTCGCTCGATAGCCAGATTGCGGCTATCGTGCGGAGCGAGAGTGCATGGAACTCTGCCGTCTCCTTCTGCGAGCAAGTTATGCTCGCGAAGGAGACGGCGGAGCGGGACCAGAAGAGGTTTAGAACTCTCCCGGCCCGCCAGGCCCCGGAACGGGCCAGGTACCGCAGGCGACTCAGGCGCCGGAGGTCGCAGAATAACCTCCGTCCTCCATAAGCGCAGGCCTAGGGGTGACAGGTGAGGCCATCTGTCACCCTAGCAGAAGCAGGCCGTGGTGGCGAGCGCGTTGCGAAGCGCGCTCGCTTCCGGGGAGCAGAGGGCACATGGGGTTCCCACACGGGGGGAGGGTCGTCTACTCGTCTGTAGATGGCCCAAGGTATGTCGGGGCACCAGGGACTTCCTTTCTAGGGTATACCTGGTTCCCCGTCTATTAGTACCCGAGACGGCGTGCGGTTTTAGTCGGTTCGGGTCCGACATGCCACCGATAGGTGGTATCCGAGGGGATTTCCGCAAGGAAAAAAAAAAGGGGTATTATTACGAGCTAGGCCTCTCATTATTGTAAGAGTATGAGATAAGAAAGGCGAAACGAAATACGTAAAAAAAAACGAAATTACTTTTTCAACTGGTTTCAGCTAGTCAGTAATTATGGTCTTGAGCCATAAAAAAAAGCTATGTATCGTTTTTTTTTAACCCTCCAAATGGAATAATTTACGAATATCATACCTAGAGCCGTACGTGCGAACAGGTATCATCGTAAACAAAATGTTCTTTGTCTAGTTATAAACGCGGAAGACAGCTTTACAAACTAGGTGGTGAATACTAAATGCATAAAGTGCTGTATCCGTAATAGAGTTGCGACCTTTCTATTAATCGAGCGTTATGTCGATAGGCTCGGAAGTGTAGCGGCCGTGGGCCGGTTGCCGGCTCCACCGCGCCTCCTCGCCTCCTCGCATACACTATGTATAGACCACACATTGATTTTATTCATTGCAATTGGGTCACTGCAAATCGAACCAAAGTGAATTTCATCTGTGTTTATATTACTTTGTGGTATAGGATTAGACGAATCATAACTTTTGTAGCCAGTTTACTTCAGAATTATTTTGTATATATTATAATCCGTGTAGTGTATATTGTCCGTGTAGTGACGGATCAAGAATACGGAATGTCACTACCCCAATTCATCCCGCGGGTGTCGTAAGAGCCAACTAAGGGCGCAAAACAACGCAGGACACCAGCACTGCAAAAAAAAGGAAAACTTGACACAAACCCTATACCAACCCGTCTGGCCAGCGTGGTATAGTAGGCCAAAACCTTCTTTCTAAGGAGAGGCCTATGTAGAGCAGTGGACTATTAAAGGCTGTTGATGTGATGATGATGATGATGTGATATTATAATCAGTGGACCAGGTTCTACAAAAGAACATAAACTGTCATGCTTAAATCACCATCACATCTCCTGCCCTGAGATGAATTATCGTTACATCGTCTGTAACGTAGTGATGCCCTATCTCTTGAATGCTAATACTTCTTCTTAATCTTCTATCCGTGTTCTGACGTACGTTAATCATTACTCGTGGTGTTACGCTAATTTGAATAGTAATCGTCTTGTTCTATTACTTTATCAATCGGTGCGGTTAGATTCCAAGTAAATGAAGGTGACGTTATAAGGAGACGAAAAGTAGTAGTAGTAGGTCAGGTAGTCGGCACCGGGTCAGGCCGAGGCCTTCGCGTGGCAGTTTTTGTGCTGCGGTGCGCGGGCGCGGGGCCGTTCCACGAATCTGGGTCAATGGTAGCGAAGTGGCACACGCCACCCGACGCTCTCAGTACTCCGGGCGCACATCGAGCGCGCAGCGCGCCCCTTTTCGCCAGAAGCCATCGCCGCAATTAGGTCACTTCATGCACCACTCGCCCGCAACCCTCTCACCCTCCCGACGATTGTCATTTTACACGTAATACACTAGACTTGCTTCGACTCCGAATAGTGGCCAATGGTGGCCTATATCCTGACAGTATGAGTCGATGTATATGTTTATTAAGGATTATTTAGGATAAACAATGCCTTCCTCACTGAATGTCAAATTTGAAAATGCCCTTTGGTCCTTTTGGATCGTAGTATATTATAATGGTTAGCAAACTTTGCAGCCGGTCCTAATATATTTCTCAGTAGCCTTCCCCCGGCGCGTCCGCTCGTATATTTTTTTTGTCTATCCTTAGGGTACGGAACTTCGTTTTATGTACACCTGACCACGTGGTGGCAAAATACCACATGTTGGGCAAACTTTCCTATCGATCTGATCAGTAGTTAGGACGTAAAAGGTGTAATAAACAAAGAAATTATTATAGTTAAGACTAATGGTTTATAATTACACTTAGTTCCTTCGCCTAGCCTTAGCAACATAAATCCTAAATTTATGTTGCTAAGGCTAGGCGAAGGAACTAAGTGCAGTTGTCGCGATTCCTCAATCAGCCAACATAATTTTGTTTAGGAGTATGTCCATTTTGAACCATAGCCGTAGCTAACCCTATCCCATGACTTCCCTTATGGAGGACGCTGTAAATAGCGTCCTTCGTCGTGTATATCGCAACAGTTGTCTATAAAATAAATTGGAGAGCAAAATAAAAATATTTTAATTTAAAGATAACATTAAAAATATGTTATATGTAGTTTTATTTTACTTTGTTTATCTGAACGTCATCATAATATTGACGAAAACAAGATTTAGTTTAAATCTTAACAGGGTTTGATTACCTGCGAGCGCAATCGAACTCGCGTGCAAACGAGACGATAACCCTTGTCATCTTCTAGTATCTTCTCAAACATATTGTAGAATATTAAATATTGTCTATGCTTACAGATGTTAAATGAAATTGTAGAGCCTAAGTGCACGCGAGGCACAGTGACATGAGCATTGTTCGTTAAGTAATCACGTGAATACGACTGAAAGCATTGTGATAGAACTGCCATTGTTGATGTTATGACTTACCTACCAAACTAATTTACTGTCAAATCTGTTTAGATATATGTATATAAGACACCCATTTTCGACTTCATAGCGCCTACTCAATCATGATAAATTGTAATTACCTAAATACTTCATCTCTTTATTTTTCCATCATAAAGGTGAATATTATCTTCAAATGTAACAAGACCAAGCTGGACGTCTAAATTCAATCAAAATTTAAGAAGTATTCAAGTCAGTTACTACGAAAAATATTCAGCTGAATCCAGTAGATACCTCCGCTTGTTTAGAGTCTTTTATAGCTAGACCTTGATTGTATTGAGTAACTTTAGACAATGCAATGGCCATATTCAACTAGTGCAATAAAATTTGGTGTAGACATAACTCCGGTTAAGAGAAATCACAAAAGGCCACAACGTAGAACTAATAGAATTGGTGCTGACCGTCCTTCACATTGTCTAGCCGCCGTCTTCTATAAGAGTGCGGTTCTCTTTTTTTGCCTGTTTGTTGAAAAGGCTTTGTGTATACGGACAAAGGTAGGGTCGCTATTTATAAGTAAAACCAACAGGTGTTTCGCGTTACAAGCAAGGGTAATAAATGGTACAGGGTATTCCGGGTAAGAAAAGTTTTGAATGTCTTGTTTTATTTTATTGGACAATATAACTAGAAAAGTTTTGAATGTTTTGTTTTAATTCATTGGACAATATAACTTGAACTATCGTTATGTAGACTTATCTACTATGATAGGTCTGACATATAGTGGTATTCTCATAGTTTTATGGAACCGTTTTTGTATGCATTAAACTAACTTTGTTACATAGGTATCGTTCAGAAACATGTACTTTTTGTACGTACCTACATATAGACGTTAAGTAGATATTCCAAATATGGGATGCTTCCTTGCGACAAAGAATTTTCTTTACTTGTAAATATACATAATATTACACTTTTTCATTCCATAATTTTGGCTCGAGCAAAATACCTCATTTCTAAGAATTACCTGCATGGGGAGGTTTTCTACCTACAGTGCTTGAGTAATAGCTACGATTTATATTATTAAATAACTAAGAGTTTGAAATCTGTTATATTGTATAAAGGGTGTAAACGAACTTGTAGAGAATTCGTTTGTCGTGTTTGTCAAGTGCTCCGTTTTCATTCGAAATAAAAATAAATGCTTGACAGCACGTATAATTCGTAAGTGAATCACTGAACGCCATTTGAGATGTGCAAAAAACATTGGTTGCAAGGTGAGACATGCGCGTCACTACATGCTTTTTGGGCTTGGTGCGCGGAGACAAACAGAATACAACGCGAGACTTGTTTTTATGTATCACACATACTTTTTTATAAAGAATTGTCCGATTTAGATAAATAGATCAAAGCTCAAAGTGGGCCCCGTTAAAATTTGAAAACAAAATCCTAAACGAAAGGGTAGAAAAATAGGGAATGAAATTTTTTTGACCTACTAATTTTTTTTCTGTAAATTATTTTGTTGCTAATCTGATGAGAGGAAAGCATGTCGAGGAAACTCCATAACGGTTTACAGCTGCTCTCTGCGCTTATTATTTTTAACCTTTGTCATCAGAGTATTAAGACCGTTTAGTTACCAAACAAGGAACAAAGAAACAAAATATAAGAATAGATATCTGTAAACACGAAAGAAATGTAATATTCTGTACCAAAATTAAAATATTTCTTTTATATTATATATAGCATATGTCTAGGACTAGAATAATTCAATCCTTAGAGTAAACATAATTAAAAACTAGTTTAGGAAATGTTTTTCCTGTTCATATTTACTAAAAAAACTTATTTCAATAGCAATCATTAAGATACTACTAAAAATGCTCTATGTAAATGATTTCACGTAAAGAGTTCGACTCTATCTAATCTGAGAGACTGTAGGTACTGGACGGACGGACTGAATGGATTATTCCATTAACCTATTGCTTCAGGTTTTCATTTCTGCGTCAAACCTTTTTAACTTGCGACCGTTTTTTTTCCAAAAACCAGTTTTAATTTACGTATTCTTTGAAATTTGTTTAATTTTTTAAATTAATCCAGTTAGAATTAAGCTAAAAATAGCTACGTTTCATTGGTCTCGCCTTGTTTGCAACAACTAATTTTATATTATGTTATTTGAACCTGTCGAAGGCTTCATATTTGAGTGGTCACTTTCTGCCTATATATCGGGTAAATAAATACCTATATATTTTTATAGTTGTTTGTTTAATGTTGCTTATTCAAGTATGTTGTCAAAATATATTCACACAGCAAACCTGATTGATGGTAAGCGATAATTGGTGTATATAAACAGTCGCAACAACGTACCCACACATGACCACGCTTCTGTTGCCTACACTGTGTAAACCTTTCCACAGACGTCTTGTGACATTGATTACTAAAAATAAAATGCATTATGCTTTTAGTGCTTTTTAAAGTCCATTTGTCTGCGAGTTGGAGTGGAAGGACCAGTCGGGCGGGTCAATTTCGTATAGATATCTACAGTACTGTGCCTCCTATGTTATGCGGTTTTTACAGTCTAGACAAGTAAATCAAAAAAACAGTACAAGCAAGATGGGTGAACGCTCAGTAGACGGATTATTTAGGTGATTATAGATTAGGGCGCAACAAGGGCGTGGGGAGAACGGTGCCCGCTGCAGCGCGGGTCGTTGACCGCCGGTGCTCGCGTCTAGGGATGCTCTCTGCGCCCTGCTCCCTCGCTCCCTCGCAACTATTGTCTATAAAAGTGTGTTGGTTACCCCGGGGCGTTCGTACATAGCGCACGTTCAACGTATATATGTACTGCGCGTGACGTTATTATTGATTCACTTGAATTTAGCGTGGACGTGAATGAAGCACTACCAAATACAAAGGTGAATGAACTTATACATGTGAGTGAACTGCCTTTAATATGCAACTTATCGTTTTTACTATCTTTTCAATAGCTATAGTTGAACCAAGATAACAGCTGTAGAGGTAGGCAATGGCGTTGACTTAATTTAAAATGAATGTGGGTATACTGCGGATGTAAACTCTTTCGAGTCGAGACATTTAAAAGATGGGCTCGGTTGGCAACAGCTGGCTATCGACGGCGGCGACCTTGCAGCGACAACGCCAAGGTTCCGGGCGTCGACCTCGCGCCGCGACGCTATCGACCGTCATCGCCACGTTTGCGCGAGACATGAACCTCGCATCTCGATATATTTCGACTAACTCTTCGATTTGAGGATAAGTGAAAAGGCTGGCAACTTGACCGGTCGGTCGCAGGACGGCTAGAGGTGCGCGAGGACGTTCGGTCGCCGGCGGGGCGAGGGCGGCGGTGATGGCGGGGTCGGCGGCCGGCGCGGGCGCGGCCGACGACTCCCGCCTCACCTGCCGAGCACTGCTCTCGCGACGGACCCACCCGCCATCTACGCTTACGACCTTTTCGGCGTATAACAATCTACATCACTGTAAATAAATTGCATTCTGCAAATTCCACTTGAACATTAGTCATATTAATTAGTCACTTTGATTTTTGATGAGTATACACACGTATAATCGTTCCGTCGTATCTGATAATTCCGGCTATTATAGTATTGTTTGTGGTTGGCTATCATTTCGCAACTTTTTGAAATAACAAACGGCTCAAGACAACAACAATACATATACTTAAATCGCTGTACAATATAATTATTGACTTTACGAGTAATGCAGCGTATATTTTGCAAGGTTTTGCACTATTACTAGTACACTAATGACTATTTTTTATGATGAACAGGTTCTCCAGAGCCATAAGAATAGGGTTGGCAATGCACTTGATGCAACAATTGTTAATATTTCGGGACCGGTTACCGCCGAGAGCTTGTTTGGCAACTTGTTGAAATCCAGGCCTTTCAGTCCCTTTTCTATCATACATATTATCTTATGAAAGTGACATTTTTATATTAGAATTAAATTGCATTGTTTAAAATGTTTTCAAACGTTCATTGTTTCTATTGTGCACTTTATATCCTTGTCTAAATAATTTACACTTTTTTATGTATTTCGATACCTATCTTTCTTGTCTAGCAGTTGGTCTGTGACGTTCACTCGCCATGTCGGCTGCGGGAGAAAGTGCCCGTCACAATGTAACTAATTGCTCTGCGTTTGCACAGTTATTAAATTTGTCGTGTTAAGATACACCATTTTACTCATGTATATGCTTTGCGGTTGTAATTTAAACCTATCTATAACATTCTTCTTTCCATATCATCTTGAAATTTACCCTGAATATCAATATCTAACTCTAATCTGATCTTTTAGCTCTCAGATAAAGGTTCTTTAACCCTATTCGATGTTCGATCGAAAAGATCTAAGTGACTTCTGTTATATATACAATACAGTGCACACTCGTCACATAATACTGACAAAATCAATAGAAACAGCAAGGTTGTCTTCGGTCACAGAACTATCGGAGAGAAATCCAGCTACGTTTGAGCAACCCAGTTATGCTTCTTCATATAACGATTTAATGGTTTTAAACTCACTTTGCGTAGTGTAAATTATAAATAGATGCTTTATCTACATGAAATCGTTTACCATGACTAGTTTTGGTGCTTAGTGTTACTTCCATATCGTCATAGTCGTAGAATAGTGTCGGATCTGACATTTAGTAAACTTTACAGCCCAAATAATTTTGTTAGTTTTTTATACATAACTTTTTTAATTCTAAATCTGTAATCATGAAAATTGGCATACAAGTGAAAAATAGGGTTTGTGTTAAAATGCAAAAAAAAGCAACTAATAATTAGACAATTTTATAGAAAAATCACATTCATTTTACTTTGAGCGCCTATCAAATTCGTCAGTTTACCGACTGAATAATTTAAAATCTAAAATACATTTCGTATTTTTTTTAAACCGACATTCTACGATCATGACGATATATTTAAAGCCTTGTAATGTTTTAAAATTAAATAAAAGGGCATTGCAAGTGATAAATAATTACATTATTTCGTTGTTTATTGCGAAATCAATATCAATAATTTGGCGACGTGACGTGTGCTTGCTCTTATCGCTGCCGTGTCTGTCGATGACATTTCTTTTAGGATCAGACGCATGTTTTTTAGCCAATTATGATTTAATCTATTGTGTTAATAATAATTTAATATACTTATTATCTTCCTTTTTTACATTTACTGTGTATTACCGCCCAGATGTCCCGTATTTTCAAAGTATAACACTTTTTTATGTCACTAATCTGTCCCACACGCCGCCAACTGTAACTCCTGTAAATCAGGACCAACAGCCGAGCCCACGAACGCACCGAGTTATGTTCCAGGAAAAATTAAAGTCTCTTGGAACCAGTAACGAAATTAATCAAAACCAAATTGGAGGAGTAAAACGGTTTGTGGATGTCCTGATTGAATTTACGAGTGTATTGAAGGCAAAATTAAATTGAATTGTAAAATAGGAATTTCTAAGACTAAAATTAATCGGAGCAGAAATAATAATTTGATTTTGATAATAAGTGTCTAGTTGTCAAGGCATTGTCGTAGTGCAATAGAGAGCGAGAGGGTAGTAAATTGCGATGCTGATGCATATGAGTAGCTCATTGACGATCATAAGTCGGATATGATCTAATTAGAGATCAAAGATGAAATTGTGGACAAATCAACACTTTATGAGAAACTCTGTGTTGAGTCTGACTAACGCACTCCCCATGCTGTATGTATATTCTCTATATGTGAGGATATATCATCCGCACTTAAATTGTCTTCCCAGAGGCCGGAAGGAAGGAATTTATTTAAAACGATAAATCAGTCGCAAGGTTTCACTAACATACTGACTCATTTCTCCACTTATACTCGCCAGTTGAAGTTTCCATCAACGTTAAGAGCCAGATCTCTAATCTTAGAAACAAACTGAATCGTACTTACATTTAATGCTAATGGCGGAAACATGGCATGCTTCCCAATAGGAAATAAGCAAGATTTAGGAACATACCAAATCTATGGGAAAAAGTTTTTTTATTGCTTCCACTTCCTGGTTTTCATTGTCGATAGATTCCGTCCGATAGATTATCTACTTTTACTTGAAAATAAACCAGCAAGTCATCGGCATAAAGATAATACACACTCAAGTTCTTTAGCGATGAGATCAATTAATATTGAAAGTGAAGTTCCTTAAGCAACAAAGGCATTGAGATTACACACTCATTGAAACCTTGTCTTGTAAACCGACTGCGACTGTTGGGTTCAGTAAAGAAGTGAAGACAACTGATTCAATGCGCCAGGAGACAGAAGAACAAGAACTGTCAGAACTGTATATCGTTGATCACTTGATCCAGCCGCTGTAGTATGCTTAGATCTGATCTTAGATTGGAAATGGATTATTATCTTATTTCGGGAACAAATTTAGATAGTGGACACGGGCCTCAAGGATTGTTGAAAGGAAATGAAGGACGATAGTTGTTTGGACGAATGTGGATAGGGAAAAGTTCGGTGGTGAGGGAATATATTTCTTAAAGAATTGTTGAAAAACAATAAATATTTCAAGAGCGTGAAGAATTATAGAGCGACTGGTGTCCTCGTAGCGTTAGATTTGGCGTATAAATTAAATTTTCTTATGCTTCTGTTTTTCGATTGGAGAAAACGGAACAAACTTCTAAATTTGACTGCACGGATGGCGTAGTGGTTTAAGCGGTCGCCACGCCGCTCACTACTACGCTGAGTGTTGTGGGTCCGATCCCCACATGAGACGACACTTTGTATGATTCACAAATTGTTGTTCTGAGTCTGGGTGTTATTTCTGTCCGTTTCATGTATGTTTGTAAAGTCCCCGCGACACAGGATTTATTCCTAGTGCGGGGGTTGTTTTTTAAAAAAAAAAAATATCTTTTATAAATTAGCAATACAATGTATTCTGAATGTGTCAGAGTTAAAGTCCGATTTGTATAACACTAAATCTTCTTGACTATCTTGGAAGCAATACTTGATGCAGAAGCATTTTTTTTTACAAATTTTTGCTGTACAGATTTCTTGAGATGAACTTGACCTTATCCAAACTTGGCATGTAAATGGTAGTAGTGTCGGTTCAATGGTTATTGCCGGTACTGTCCGGCCTATAGTTGTGGCATCCTTGATTGCTTGGATGTTGTTGTTCTTGTTAATGAAACGAGATTTACTTGCTTTCGAGCCATTGTATCATCATCATCATCAGCCCATCGCAGTCCACTGCTGGACATAGGCCTCTCCCATTGCATATTCTATATTAGTGCATTAATTATACTTTTAAATCCTCTCACTGTCCTGGATTTTTCAACATTGTTTTCTGATGTCAGATGTATTCCCACTAATATACAACACACGTATGAGTTGTATATTGGATAAAATCTAATTTTAAAAGTGTTGATAACACCAGCACTAGACACGAAAGTAAAAAATATGTGCATTACCGAAGGTTGGAAAACGCGCAGATACCTTATCTATGTGACTACATACATTTATCCCGATAATAATAATGAACAATATAGTAGACAGAATATTTGATATTGCATCAATAGATATGTGACTCGACCTTATCAACGTTACGTAGCGCGCAAATCATAAACAACTAATACAGTAGAGACTATATGTATGACGTCATTAATATACGTATGTTATTATTGTTATAAAATAAATATTTTTGTTGTGGTTGTGTCTGGTGCATCTGTGCGCTCAGGTCACTAATGATTATGTTGTTTAATAAATATGAATGAACACAAACAAACGAAAAATTGCATACAGCCTTGATTTGGAAAGTGCCAAATACATCCATCTTGTCTATTTACATTAAATTTACAGACATGACCCGGTCATTTCGATAAAAATGTAATAAATAAATAAATCGTTGAACAGAGCGGCACGCGGAGGCGGTAGCTCGCACGTACAGCGCTGCAGCGTGCGGAGGCAAGACGCGAGCGCGCGGCCCAAGAGCAGAGCGCGGCCTGCGCTGGTGACAGCACCGGCGACAAGACGGACAGCGCGCGGCAGTCGGGGCCCGCGCTGCGCGCCTCGGGGCGGACGCCCGTCCCCCCGCCGAGGCGACGCTGGGTCCCGCCCTCTACTTTGAGAAACCACGATGTGCCCGACGGAGATGCCAAACACGACATCATATTCCGAAAGGTATGTTTCTGCCTACCCACCGAACTTGCGATTCGAGACCTGAATCCCGCTTATAATTTTGTTATCGTTCTAGGTTCGCGGTATTCTTAATAAACTCACGCCGGAAAAGTTCCAAAAGCTGAGCGATGATTTGCTCGGTTTGGAGCTCGACTCGGACAAGGTGCTGAAGGGGGTCATCCTTCTCATCTTCGAGAAGGCACTCGATGAGCCTAAATACTCGTCGATGTACGCGCAGCTGTGCAAGCGGCTCAGCGAGGAGGCACCCAACTTCGAGCCGCCCGGTCAACCTTGCACATTTAAGCTGCTGCTACTGAACAAATGTCGCACCGAGTTCGAGAATCGTGCTCAGGTCGGTAACCGTTAACTAACGACGAAGGCCTGTAGAGTACTCGACACTTAAATCTATCCGTAATCTTTACTGTATTTTCTAGGCGTTTGCCGCATTCGAAGACAAGGTGCTATCGCCCGACGAGGAAGAGAAGCGACATCTTTCAAAATGCAAGATGTTAGGCAACATAAAATTCATCGGAGAGCTCGGCAAACTGGAGATTCTCGCCGAGTCCATCCTCCACAGATGTATACAAAACTTGCTAGCGCGACGTGCGGCCGCCGAACACCACGAGGACCTGGAGTGTCTCGCGCAGCTCGTGCGGACTTGCGGCCGCGTGCTGGACTCCGAACGCGGCCGCGGCCTCATGGACCAATACTTCGCTCGCATCGAGACCTTATCCTGCTCGCGCGAATTAGCGCCGCGCATACGCTTTATGCTTCGCGATGTGGTGAGTGTTTACGTTTTGCGCCGTGGGATCGGTCGTCCGCGCTCGACTGTAGACTTACCCGCGCGTTCGCATCGTGGTGCAGGTGGAGCTGCGTCGCGGAGGCTGGGTGCCGCGCGCCGCCGTGACGGCCGAGGGCCCCGTGCCCATCCACCAGCTGCGGTCCGACGACGAACCACTGTCGCGGCGAGAGCGCGAGCGCGAGCGTGACCGCGAGCGCGAGCGCGACTCGTTGTTCCGCGGCGGGCTGCGCTCGCGGCCGCTGGACGACGTGCTGGCGGGCCTGAGCCTGCAGCCCGCCGCCGCGCTGGTGCCGCCGCCCGACAAGCTCTTCGGCAACGGCTTCGGCGCGTCGCGGGACGCTTTCCGCCAGCGCTCCGCCCCCGGCTACTACCCGCGCCAGTCCAACAATATGCATTATAACAAGCACTCTCAGACCAACGCACAGGGCAACGGCTCTAAGGTACGATCGGGTGTTCTGTGACCTTTTTCGTTTTGCTTTCAAACGATTCTTTTGCTTTTTAATGCATTGCAAGCGTTCAACTCTTCGCCGATTATTGAGAACGTACAACTCACACGTTACGAACTTGGATATTTTCGCTCTCACTCACTCTAAATTCAAAAAAATTACTACTGAAATTCTTGCTGATCAATTTTAACATTCTTTAATTAACTATCTATCTTATATTATAACATATAATTCACCGATCGTGTGCGGTGCGCGTCCGTTACCTTTTCTACTCTAGCTCTAAACTAGTGGACAATAGTGTGGGTTATACGTTTTAGATACGTAAGTCCTAAATCACTCGTAAAGACTGCAACGTATAACTGTTTTTGTCCCAAATAAATAAAATACAACATAATTGAAAGGATGAGAAGGGAAATGGCTATCAGTAAGTGCGTGTGCGCAGGAGTCGGGGTCGCGCGCGGCCAAGGCGCGCGTGTACGCGGCGGGCGCGCTGCAGGACGTGCAGATGCGTCCGGCCGCCAACTCGCTCATGTTCACGGCCAACAAGCTCTCCAAGCCGCAGCCGCAGCTGCCGCTGGCGCCCGTCCAGCAGAGTCAGTACACACTCCTTATTTGTAGTTATTGCTGTTTCATCCGCTTCTTTTAATATTTATCTGACGTAAAATGTGTATTTAATATGTGACATAAGATATGCAAGAAGATATTAATTAGTGTTTCTGTTAAACTTAGTATGGTGATATTCTTTTGCTGAGAGAAATGATATAAGAAAAACTGGGGACATTACGGTAGTGGGATTACCGAAGTCGGTCTCGGAATCGAAGTTTTTAAATTTATCGCAAATAGGACCGGAGTCAGAGCACAAAAAATAAGTGTTCAACTGCACATAATTTATGTATTTCAAATTAAGTAACACGCAAAGATTTTAAATGATCTCTCATGAGGTTTTGATACGACTGATTTTATAGCGATATGCGATATATTACCTACTATTTGTGTAATCCTTTTTAATTAACTTACTAGGAAATAATTCATATTCTTGAGAGGTACACCCGATTAAGTTAGTATTCTAATATGATATAAAGGTTTCAACTGTTAAATCTCATTTCTTTTTCATAAAAACTTATTCGAGCTCGGGCTTGTTAATGTTCAACAAAGAGTCGTATGTTTGTCGGTTATGTGCATTTTATTTCATCTCATTTATTTCGTAAATAATATTAGATAAGTAGACGATTATTTGCCTTAACTGCTCCTAATGCATATTGGTGTATAAAAGTTATATTTCTCTGAATTGTCTTTGATACATCAGACCGTGGTGACAGGCTGACGGGTTTAGTTAAACAATTAATTAGTGTGTATTATGTTAGAAAAGTATTATGAAAACACTTGGTTTTAATGAGATTAGACAAAAGTTTGCGGTCAGCGGCGAAGTTTAATCGGTCGCAACGAACTATATCGGTGTCGAGTGATATAACGGTACGATGTCGCTTCGTCGTTTTCAGACGTATTAACGCCGGCGTTCGCCTCCACGCCACCGCTGATGAAGGAGCCGGTCATCACCATCAAGCCGGCGGCCGATAAGAAGGACAAGCCCAAGAAGGACAAGGGCGCCAACAAGGAGGAGGCGTGCCGCCTCGCCGTGGAGGCGGCCGAGGCGGCGGCGCAGCTCGGGCCCGACGACGCGCTGGAGGAGGGCGGCGCCCTGCAGCGCCTGCGCGAGCTGGGCGCGCCCGACAAGGTGCTGCGGCGCTGCTGCGCGGCCGTGCTGGAGCGCGCGCTGGGCGCCGGCGACGCGCGCGAGCTGAGCGGCGCCGTGCGCGTGGCGCGGGCCATCAAGCGCGCGCCCGGCGCCGACGCCCTGCGCGCGCTGCTGGCCGCGCAGCCGCCGCACGCGCGCCTGCCGCGCCTGCTGGCGCACGCCGTGCAGCACAAGCTGGCCTCGCTGGCCGAGCTGGGCGCGTGGTGCGAGGCGCCGCGCCTGCACGCGCTGCTGCTGGACGTGCTGCAGGAGCTGCAGGCGCTCGTGGGCGCCGAGCGCCTGCGCACGCTGTACGACGAGAGCAAGCTCAACCTGTGCGCCTTCGTGGGCGAGGGCGGCGGGGGCGCGGCCACGGGCGGCGCGCTCGAGGCGCTGGAGGCGCGCGGGCTGGCCGCGCTCGTGCCGCAGCTGCGCGTGCAGGCGCAGCTGGCGCGCCAGCTCGCCGCCGAGCCCGCGCCGCACGCGCTGTACCGCTGGATCAAGGTACGCCGAACTCGACTTCGAACCGTCGTATCTCTCTCCTCGTCATAACTTCATTTATGATCACCGAGAAACTGAATCCTCATAAAGAAAAGTATCTCTCACCTCACGCAAGCAAAGTATTATCATTATTTTTTTATTGTATTTATCTGACTTTACAACATTTATAATACTCTTGACATTATTAATTCTCTGACATTAACGTTGCGATAAATCTATGTTATGAGTATAATCTTCAAATTATATTTGTCATGTTGCATGTCTAGATAATAATCTTTTAACTATCTATGTCTAAACATTTGCACACCTTTAAGAGGTTATATTACAGCGCACCCATGTCTTATATGATGTAACTTCTACCACATTTATACCTGTTTTATGCAAATAAAAAATGATTTGATTTGATCACCTCAAACTGGAATGTGTGTACGTTAATTTCAAATACACATTGTTCATATAGAAAAAACTACATTTGAAAATTCCATTTAATCCAATATTACAAAATGATTGCAATCATAAATGTATAAGTAAATAAATACTTATTATATGCTTGCACGGATGACGTAGTGCTTTAAATTGTTACTTCGCTGCTTCGTACTGCGCTGAGTGTTGTGGACTCGGTCCCGACATGGAACAACATTTCGTGTGATCTATAAATTGTTGTTTTGAGTGTTATAAAGTCCTCCGCGACATAGGATATTTTCTTAGTGGAGAAGTTGCCTTTTCAAAAAACAAATGCGAATAAAAGCAAAAAATATGAACAATCTCTCAATTAGGTAGAACAAAAATATCTATCATGAAAGAGTTCATTGGATCGGTTTATGTTGTACTTTCTGTCTTTAAACAACCTGTTCATCATAATGTTAAAATAAATACAGGAAGAAAGACATTATTTGAAAATTGCACGTCATGATGGCTTTTATTTCGTATATTCGTGAAACATGAAAATTTATTATAATTTTTGCCTGATGCTAAAGTGGATAATTGCTCAATGTCGGTATCGCTCCGGTCGAGCCGGGCCCGTACGTGGAGCGGGCCGACATCGGTTATCTCGTAATAAACGTAGTAACAGTCGATATCGAACGGTGGCAGGCGAACGTGGAGCCGGCGGTGCGGCAGAACGCGGCCTTCGTGTCGGCGCTGGTGGCGCTGGTGGCGGAGCACGTGACGGGCGAGGGGGGCGCGGGGGTCGCTGGGGGGGCGGGGGGCGCGGACAAGGCGGCGCTGGAGCGGGAGAAGGCGCTGGTCGAGGCCTACGCGCCGCTGCTCACGGCGCTGCTGGAGGGCCGCGCCGACCTGCAGCTCGCCGCCGTCTACGCCGTGCAGGTGCACGCGCACCACCACCGCTACCCCAAGGGTGAGCTATACTACTATACTTGTTAAAAGAAAAGTTGATCTTTAAAATATTTATGACTGATCGCCACTTAAATTCGATAATTTTGTAATTAAACGACGAACGGATGGCGTAGTGGTTTGTGTAACGGACTGCTATTCCAAAGGTCGCGGGTTCGATTCCCGCTTAAGTCAAACATTTGTTCAGTCCTCTCTTTTTTTGAAGTGAAAACTCCTTTAGACGCTATAGGCATTTTTGAACAACAAACAAAAGAATGTATTTTTTGAGATTGAAAAAAAACCATTAAACTCGCGACACTGTTACCGTTACCGACACCTCTGTATATAAGTGTCTACTCGTACATAAATTAGGCCCTGTTTACCGGACAGTTGAATTTGGGTAGATATACATTAATAATATAACTATATATAATATAAAACCTATAATGTTTATATACGTACAACATAGATATATATATTCATGACGGAACTTGTTGAATCGAAAAAAAACTGTTATAAACAAAATAAATTTATATTTTCAAGTTTTCACTTCTGTCGGCACTCCCAGAGTACCACTGTTTTTTTTTTCTGTCGGTTTATATCAGATGGTATCCGAAAAGATTTCTACGCAGATAAAAAGGATCTGCATACATATAACAACAAAGTAAATAAAGAAAAAATTACATAATATTTCCAAACCCTTCGTTTTGTGATATTTCTATTTAAGAAAAAGTTCTGTCAAACTAAATTAGACCTTAAGTGTAAAAAAACCCACTTCTGGTAATTTATATTTTGAAGTGTAAAATAAATGCAGCTAAAGCATAAAATATAAACGTTGCAGGCATGTTGCTGCGATGGTTCATGTACCTGTACAACCTTGAGGTCTGCGAGGAGGACGCGTTCCTGCGTTGGCGCGAGGATGTCAATGATGCCTACCCTGGGAAGGGCGAGGCGCTATTCCAGGCAAGTACTCGTTCATCATGGTATTGTTACACATTATAAATTATCATTTTGAGTGAGCAGCAATATACAAGTGAATGTGTTAGCAGGTAACTTATGTGGTATAAATTGCTACTTTTTCCCTTAAGTAGGATGGCATCACATGCTTACGAATTATTGTTCTTGTACTTATCAACACACATACCAATTGGTTCCGTAGCTCAAAAGGAAAAAACGGAACCTTAATAGGATCATTTTGTTGTCTGCCTGCCTGTCAAGACCCTAAATCTCGGATACGCGTGGAGGTATCGAGTTGAAATTAAAACCATAAACTTAGGTTTATGTTCCCTTGAAGCTGTAATATTAACAAACTCCTAAGTTAAGGTAAAAAAAGATACGACCGGATACATACATACCGGATACGGATATATTTATGCCGCAAAAAGGCATCAAACTATTTAAATTAAGGCAGGTATTAAAATTCATAGGGTACATTCCGTTGTCCTATAACTCTAAAAGCAAGTAACATCGTCTAATACTAAAAGTACAAGGAAAAATCTTAAAACTATACATTTGGAAATAAGCTACAAAAATTATAGCCTTTATTTACATAAAGTACGTAATCAATCATTGAGGTATAATTTCTCTTAAAACTCAAGAACATAAGTAATTATAGGTTTTGGAAACTGAATTTCGGACAAAGCTCCGAAAAATCTGCGAGATTCGATTCGTGAACTATTTATAATATGTACCTAAAAATGTATATGGAACCCGCGGTGGACGAGTCCGACTCGCACTTAAATTTCGGTTCAATGGTATATTGTAGATAATGGATATTTCTTTCCTAAATTAAATAATAAGTGATGGACTGGAAATAGATTTGTCTACATGTTTTTTCTTTATCCACATAAAACAGGTGTAATTATGTTGTCTGTTTTTGTGCAGGTGAACACATGGTTGACGTGGCTCCAGCAGCAGGAGTCCGAGGACGAGGAGGCGGAGGACTAGAGGCTGGAGCTGGCCCTCTCCCTCGCAGACGCCGAGACACTCTGGCGATATCTCCGGCCGGCACGGAGCCGCACCGCTTTTTTTCGCGCTCATCTCATTTATATAAATATAATTAAGCCAAATAGTTAAAATACCTACGTTTGTAACCCTTTAGCGCTGGAGGAGCCGGGGCGGCGGCCGCGGCGGCTCCAGCGGTAAATAGGACAAGTTTTAGGTTATTACGTAAACGAATATTAGTATCTCGAGATAATTTTTTGTAGGCCTTTTACTCGATTTTGATACTTTTTACAAATGTATACAATGTATAGTGTTCGTTTGGACGTATGATTGCACCCCGATCTGCCCTTCTCTGCAGTGAGCGTGTTTTAGTTGAAATTGTAAAAAAATATATATATATGAAGAACTTAAATCAATTTTTATTATTAATATCATGATCATTTATTTTCAATGCTAAATGGACTTAGTGGTAACTGTAAGAACGCTTAAATTTCATTGTATTATCAAATTTTAGAATTTTGTAACTAGAGAAACAAAATAAAAATACAGGCATAAGTAATGTATGTTGAGTGAGTTGTAATAAAGTTGTGAACTGATGCAAATGCTACATTACATAAGTAACATTGGTCAATATGTATTCAGGATGAAATAAACTTCAGTGTAATTTATTACAAAAAGGTACATAGTTTCATTTGTGTAGCTGGGGATGTACTGACCTGTGGGTGTCTCTGACACAATCCATTTCAAGCATTCAAAAGTTCCAAAGATATCAATCTACGATAGTGTAGGTGCAATGGGATGCTGTAGGATTGGTAAGTGTTCCTTTACTCTGCTACAAATATCTGCACTGACATATATTTCAATACTGGCAGGGATTGACAGAGTAATAAAATTTAAATTAAATTTTCTTTCATTTAGAAAATATAACTATGAATATATGTTGTGTCGCAGGAAACTTTACAAACATTAATAAAACACACAAAGAACACCTAGACTCAGAACGCCTATTGTGGATCAGACAGTGTTGTGCCATGTGGGGATCGAACCCACAGAGCCCAGCTTAGTAGGTACGGCGAAGTGACTTTAAACCACAACACTATCTGTGATGTCGAATAGTAATAATAGCTCTGAAAATTTTAACAGCATTCAAGAATGTGGACAATTAGATAATTACTTTTGGAAATGTGCAAGAACTGTTAATGCAAATGTCGTATTTATGCATATATTTATTTGCACTGAGTAAGAATCAATCCCACCACCACTCATTGTGGCCGTAGAATAGGTACTCTGTTATATTTGACAGAGTATACTATGGCTGGTAGATAAAGATATCAATTCAACTACCAGTTTGAGAAGTTATTGCACACCTGCATCGGTTTTCAGCTGTCAACCTGAACCTTTACTATTTAGCAAATAAACTATAAAGTAAGGAGGAAGAAATAAACTGCCTTGTCTCAACAGCGAAGGAGCCTGCTACTAATAATAATAAAAAACAGTTTAAAACGTCAGTAATTCTATCAAAATGGAATTTGGTGTAGACAAGTATGCAGTCATGTATGTCAAGAATGGCGTGATAGTAGAATCTAAAGGAACAGTGCTCTCAGATTTAACATAATTCAGATCTCTGTCTGAAACTAAAACTTACAAACTTACTTTTGGCCGCCTGAAAAAAGTACTTAAAAGTCTTTTATCAGGGGGCAACAAGGTGCGAGCCTGCAACGCTCGCCATCATGCCGGTTCTAATGTATTCTTTTGGTATACTTAGATGGACTCAGACCGAATTAGATGCCCTTGACAGGATAGGAGATTGTATATACCTTGAAAGCTTGGAGCAAAGTGCTCCATGGTCGGTTTTATCGGGCCCTAAACGGGTCTGATATAGACTTAAATGCATCGACTTGGCTCCGGTGCTATGGTGATCTCTTCGGAGAAACTGAAGGTGTTCTTTGTTCGATTATGGACGTCATCATGACGAATAACTATCTATCTATCTATATATCCTAAAATATGGTACGGTTGACATCTGTCGGGCATGCCACAGTACCTACTGGAGAATCGATCAGGCAATCATTATTGGATTTATCTCACGAGATTGTCGATATATGGAATGTCGATTCAGTGATCATTGTTGCGATAGTCATATCTGCTCACGGATTGATAGCCAAGAGCCTCGACCAACACCTTAAGAGGCTCACATTGGACGGCTGGATCAAGAGTCTGACGCAGAAAGCAGTTCTTGACACAGCTCGTATAGTGAGGAGGTTCCTATCTTTGGTTTTAACTTCCGGTGTCTTGGTCCCTGTACCCGATGTCGGTGGTCTATTATTTTTAAATATCTATTTTTATAAAGTGTATGTTTAAAAATATAACTAATATGTATATAAAATAAATAAAGAGAATAATAATAATATTTATTAACGTCAAAATTAAATGAGGTACAAATTTTCTAATATAACAGGATTTTCTTAGGTTAGTATGGTAAGATTAAAAGTGTGTTATGGGTACCAGCCCCTCTGTCCTCTAAAATTAACATCCATTTTGCATTTTCAAAATTTTAACTCATTTTTCCAATATTCATGCATGTGAGTGTCCATGTATGTTGGAATGAGTTATAAGTGTGTGGTATGTATTGGTGCGGGTTTGTGTGTGTGGTGTGTGTGTGTGTGTGAATGTCATATAGATGTAAGTTTAAGCGCGCATCCGTTTGGTCATTGTCTTGTTTGTGTAGCCAGTTAGTTACCTTCATTTTAACTTGGAAAACATGATGTATACTGCAGTACTTATTTATGGTGAAACTAAAACATCACGAATGCTTTGCTTATCATATGATGAGGATGACCCACTGCCTTTTTAACCAGAGTGCCTACTTCATCTTCTTAGGTGGTAACACTTCTACGAGCATTATCCAAATACCTACCCCATGTACATGTTACTTTAATAATACAACATAATGCTGAAATGGATAGAATTTATGTGACCAAACAAAAAACAATAATTGATTAAATAAAACTAAAATTTATTAAACTAATAACCATCAATAAAGTTGACAATCCTTGGCTCAACAATGTTCAGAGCATTTAGACCTAATTTATATTACTGTCTGCTGTGTTGCTGTTATGCTTGAAAACCACTGTGTTCCAGTATCAACGGAGCTGTGAAAAAAAAGAGTTCTCTAGAGATACAATGACATTTCTAAAGTATTACATAAAGTAAGTTAGTAAGTTGATAAGACGAACCTCTTCTCTGTCTTTAAAACTTGAATTTAATGAAATTTGGCACAAGGTAGACAAGGCTTGCTAATTGGAGTTCTATATGCTCTCACCAGTTGGAAACCGAACGACACTGAAGTTAAACTGGTTGTTAGAGAATAGTTTAACTAATTCTAAATACATCAAAACTATGGTAACTTGTGCTCATGAAGCAATGCAAACAAATATTATTTACCATTAGAAGTTTAATAATAGTACTTTCATCACTCATTAGGGAAGCATTACATTCAAAATTACATATATAAGAAAATTATTCTAATTTAAGGTTTCTGCCGAAGTTTATACTGCATTATTTTGTGTAATGCATATAATACCGATGATATTTTTAGAGTTTATAGTAATCATAACGACTTACCAAGTCGGATAGCTACACAGAGCACGCAAAAAGTAACTACGCTATTAATTGTATTTTCACGCGCCTGACGTTTCTCCTCCATGGGGTCAACTCTCTCACCGTACGGTAAACGAAACATGGTTTTATTTTATGTTGCGTTGCTGTATAAAAGTAAATAATACACAGCTTCTTACGCTATTTAAATGCAAATTCTAGACACAGAGAAAAGCCGTAACATTTGACACTTGACGCTAAATGCTGACACTGCTGACAGCTGCGGGAAAGAAATTCGAAATCAAGCATGTTAACCACGAGGTCCCAAGTATGAAGTATTGCCATTCTTGAAGTAATATGCTTAAAAGTATGAAGTTTATTGTCCGGATGGAGTAGTGATTTAAGCGGTCGCCACGCCGCTTCCTACTGCTCTGAGTTTTGTGGGTTCGGTCCTCACATGGGATGTGATTTACAAATTGTTGTTTTGAGTCTGGGTGTTCTTTGTGTCCGTTTCATGTGTGTTTGTAAAGTCCCCAGCGACACAGGATTTATTCCTTAATGGGGGAGCTGTCTTTAAAACGAAAACAAAGAGATGGTATGTTAGATGTATGTACATTGATTAAACTAAACTAAACTGGTTTGCTAAGATTTTTGAGGGCTACATTTATGATTATATGTACAACCATCTTATTCATCTATTAAGTCCATTACAACATGGTTTCATGACTGGTAGGTCAACTAGTTCGAATCTCATATACTATACGTCTTATTTGTGTGAATCGTTTAATCTAAAAAAAAACGGTTGTCTGTAAAGTCGGTTTACTGACGATAGTTGAACGTGACAACGTCATAAGAAAACACTGATGGAATGGTTGCATTTTTCAAAAATGTATTATTGTATACGAGTAGCAGCTGTCCACGCGGACGCATCGCTCACTCAAGTAGGAGAGAGACAGATGTCGCGGAGGCCGATTGTGCCTCTTTGTCACTCGTTCCGCGCTCTCGCTTGCACTTCACGCCTTAAATGGAACGCCTCAGAGCGAGGTAACGCCGCATGAGTCATGTTTTTTCGTGCATGCAGCCGGCTCCATCGAATTATAAGACGTTGTCACGTCAAAAATCAGGTGGATTCAATATACACAGATTTTTCCAAAGCTTTTGATCGCGTTGAGGCGTTAAGGTTACTTGCAAAGGCACAGCATGCTGGAGTACACGGAAGCCTGTTCAGATGGCTTACATCCTACCTATTAAATCGAACTCAGTTGGTTGCACTTGGTGGGTACGAATCTGGTCCTTTTTTGGCGACTTCCGTTGTGCCACCGGGGTCAAATCTTGGTCCCCTTCTGTTCCTGATTCTTATCAATGATTTGCTATTTAAAATTGGTCGTAAATGTTTAGCTTACGCA